AAGTGTCAGGACCTGCCCAGCTGGTGTGGCTCAATGGATGAGGTTCGACCTAGGAACTAGGAGGTCATAGTTCGATTCCCAATCAGGACACATGCTCAGGTTTTGGGCTCGATCCCCAGTGTGGGGTGTGCAGGAGGCAGCTGATAGATAATTATCTCATTGATGTTTCTACCTCTCTCTCCCTCTCCTTTCCTCTCTGAAATCAATAAAAACATATATATACATATATATATATATATATATATATACATATAATTTTTATATACTTATTTATTTTAATGTGCAGGACCCTAAATAGGAAAAGAGACCTTCCCAGCAGGTTTGTTCCAGTCTTTTCTCAGCTGGAGTCACCACCAGTCACACCCCAGGACCCTCCAAAATAGCCCAGAGCTCATACCTCGTACACCTCTAAGGTTTGCCACACACAACACACTGAAAAGTTCACTTCTCCAATCCAAAACCCTTCCTAAGACTTTTTTATTTTATTATTGATTATTTACAGAGAGGAAGAGAGGGAGAAAGAGAGAAACATCGATGAGAGAGAAACATCAATTAGCTGCCTCCTGCACACCCCCTACTGGGAATGTGCCCGCAACCAAGGTACATGCCCTTGACCGGAATTGAACCTGGGACCCTTTCAGTCCAAAGGCTGATGCTCTACCCACTGAGCCAAACCACTCTATCCACTGAGCCAAACCGGTTGGGGCTCCTAAGATGTTTTCATGCCAGGAGCAAACCGCAGCAGGAAAGGGAATTTCAAAAGGGAAACAAAAAGGATGATCTTAATTAATAAGAAGCGTATTAACAACAGGCTGAAGCCTCTGACTAAAACAATTCCCATGCCCCTACCTTGCCCCTCTGGACTCCGATCACAGATAAGTGACTGACATGATTGTTTTATAACTTGGGGTTCCCAGGACAGTTTGCATAACTGACTTCCTTGTGTTCCCCAAAGCCCTTTGCATATCCTCTCCTCGCCTAGGAGTGGGGAGAGGAATCACTGCTGACCAGGTTCTCCCACGTGAGCCGCACAGCACCGCCTGGACGGCGGGAAGACACAGCCCTTACGCTCCGTCATTGCTGGTGTCTGGGTGAGACCCCCTAGAACAGGGGGCTGCAAACTATGGCCCGGGCTGTCTGTTGTCCTGTGGCTACTGAACTAAGAGCGGCTTTTCCATGGATGAAATGCTTGGAAAAAAAATAAAAGATTTCCTGACACATGCAAATCCTATTACATTGCAATTTTGGTCCATAAACATTTACTGGGACACAGCCACACCTGTTGGCTTACATTCTGCACGTGGCGGCTTCCTCCTACGGCAGAGTGGGACTGAGGTTGGATGGCCATAAAGCTTAAATATGTACTATCTGACCAAAACCGGTGTGGCTCCTGGGATAGAGCATTGGCCTGCGGACTCAAGGGTCCCAGGTTCGATTCCAGTACCTTGGTTGCGGGCACATCCCCAGTAGGGGGTGTACAGGAGGCAGTTGATCGATGTTTCTCTCTCATAGATGTTTCTAACTCTCTATCCCTCTCCCTTCCTCTCTGTAAAAAAGTCAATAAAATATATTTTTAAAAGAAAGCACGCAGGCCTCTGACCGAAAGGGCCAAAATTGCCCTTCACGGTGGCATACACATCTCAACAAATCCGAAAACTCGTGAAAAAAAACGTACCACCACATGGCCAAGTTCATTCATCACAACCAGCCTGGTGCGTAAAAGATCAGTGATTAAATTTGTACTTATTTTTTTTTTGGGGGGGGGGTGGAGGTGAGGGAGGAGTAATAGACCATGTAAGAGGCTTCTCTGTGGTCTGTTTAAAGCGCCACTATAGCCAAAATCGGTTTGGCTCAGTGGATAGAGCGTCGGTCTGCGGACTGAAAGGTCCCAGGTTCGATTCCGGTCAAGAGCATGTACCTTGGTTGCAGGCACATCCCCAGTGGGGGGTGTGCAAGAGGCAACATCAATGATTCTCTCTCCTCGATGTTTCTAGCTCTCTATCACTCTCCCTTCCTCTCTGTAAAAAAAAAAAAAAAAAAAAAAAAAAAAAAAAAAAAAAATCAATAAAATATATATTTTTTTAAAAAAGCGCCACTATACTTAGAAGGTTCACTATATTTTTTTTAAATAAGAAAATATCTGTGATGTTTTTATTGTTGATACAGATACATTTAGTACTACTATGTTTTTGTTGTCTACATAGTTGAGGAAAATGCTAAGTTTCAGTTGAGTTTAGTGATATAGATTGATAAATAATTCCCCCCTCGAAGTTCAAGGACGTCTGAGTTCTTTCCAAGGGCTCCGTAGGTTTCTCAAGATCCCAGGTTAAGTACACCTGCCTTAACCTAAGTGTAGGGACTCTGAGCTCTGGTGACATGGTGTTGCATGTGAGGGCAGCACCATGGCCAGAATCCAGCTTTTTTAAAATTTTATTTAATTTTATTTTTTTATGCTGAAAGGCAAATAAATCAGTGTGCAATGAGTTTCTTTCTGGGAGTCGATTCACTAGGTTTTTAAAAAGGAGTTTGCTTTGTGAATCCTTTATGGCAACCCAGAGCTTCCTGCTTCCACCCTTCTCACAGCCCCACAGAAATATGAACCCCTCCCCTTGTTCCTCCCTTGGCTCAGGGGACCCATCGTCATGCCCAGAGGACCCCAGGTCACCAGAGGGCAGAGGAAGAAGGCATCTTTGTCCTGCCTGCTGGCTGATGGCAGAACCTGGCATCGCAAGCCCTTCTCTTCAGCCAGACTCGGAGGGAAAGATTCTCAAGTGAAAGATTCCCAATGCCCTGCTTTCCTAAGAAATGTCTGTGCTGTTCTAGGTGCTCTTGCTGGATCCATTCTTTTTTAAAAAATATATATATTTTATTGATTTTTTTGCAAAGAGGAAGGAAGAGGGATAGTTAGAAACATCGATGGGAGAAACATTGACCAGCTGCCTCCTGCACACCCCCTACTGGGGATGTGCCCGCAACCAAGGCACATGCCCTTGACCAGAATCGAACCTGGGACCCTTCAGTCTGCAGACCAACGCTCTGTCCACTGAGCCAAACCAGCTAGGGCTGGATACATTCTTTCTAACGCTCTTAAATACAGGCAATGGGTGACCAAGCCCTGCTGACCCTTTACTTTCCTCCTTCATTTCACACCAGGAGCGTCCACCCAGCCCCTCATCTTTGTTATTAATCCTCTCCCGAGGACATGTTCCCATTGACTTTTAGAGAGAAGGCAGAGAAACATGGGTGTGAGAACAGCACACCGATTGGTTGCCTCTGGCCCCAGAGGAGGAGCCTGCAACCCAGGTGCCTGCCCTTGACTAGAATCAAACATGGGACCCCTTTGGTCCTCAGGCCGAGGCTCTCTCCACTGAACCAAACCGGCCAGGGCCAGCCTCTCCTCTGGATGGACCACCCGCCTCTGCAGCTCCGCGGGCTTAGGGCCGTGTTTTCCCAGCGTCCTGGCCTCACACCGCAACCTCCGATTTCCTGGAAAGTTTGCAGAGGGAGGCCGGGGAAGCTCCCAGCGCAGTCCCAAGGTTTGGCAGGAAGCAGCCCTGACAGGCAACGCCAAGGCCTCCGCAGAAATGTTTCCCAGCGGACACGGCCCCTGCAGGGTCTCAGCGGCCCCTGAGCCCAGCCGGCCTCCCCATGGCGCTGGAGCAGGGCCCTGGCCTGACCCCGGAGACCCCCCCGGCCCCCGTCCAGCCTTCGCCTCCCTGGAACCCCGCCCAACGCTTACCCAAGCCCCGCAGACCGGTGGGCGGCTCCATGGGGCGGAGGGGGTGGGGCAGGGGCGGAGGAGCGAGGGCGGCCCTTCCTGCCTGCAGGAGTTGCCATGGCAACCACCGTCCAAGGGCAGCCCAAGGGCGTCCGCGGAGGGCGAGGCCCAGGAGGGGTAAGCAGCATGAAGGGCACAGCACAGAAAGTGAAACTTCCACACCCTTTTATTCCCAAACTCCAGCAGGTTTAACTCCGAGCCCAGCTTACGGCACCCCTAACGGGACCTAGGATGGAGGCTCAGCCCTAATGAAGATAGTCTTTTAAAAGATTAAAAAAAAAACAAAAAAAAACACCCGCATAGAAACCGAACCGTGACAGCCTGGTTCACAGATTGACCCTGGACCACGGAGCCACGTCGGCCAGGCACAGAAGTATTTTCTAAAAGAGTGAAATTCTCCAATGTTCCAGAAAACGGTAAAACTACGTGATTTCTGTCAAAAAAAAAAAAAAGAAAAAAGAAAAAAAGCATTTGGCACTATGCTGCCTTTTCTCCCAGTTCAAGATACACGTGGGAGAAAACCATTTCCCTTCTTAAAACAAAACCAAACCCCTCCCTCCTTCCACTGCTTATTCCCAGAAACACCCAGAGAACAATCAAGACTATGCCCGGCCCACTTCTCCTGAAGGCTCACAGCGGGGACTGTTCCTTAGGAATTCTCTCCTGGGCTACCATCAGGTAACTGACCCCCAATTTCTGGGAACTGGCAAAAAATAAAACAAAATAAAATCCCCATTTCCTGCCAGGAGGGGCCTGAGGGCTCTGTAAGGACCAAAGACAGTGGACCTGGCCCATGTGCGAAGCGGGCCTTTCTACATAAAAACACCCAACACTTACAGCCTAACGTCTAACCTACGGGTAAAAGCAACTAGCAGCTGGCTCAGACACTGAAAAGGTGCTTATCCCACCATCTCTAACCATAAAGAAACAGAGGGGAGTCTAGAGAATTTGAACTCCTCTCCGTTCCCCAAACTGTGACGTGTCTTTTCTAAGCCAAGGCCAAGTTCCGGAGACAGACACGGGGTCGCAGGGGACAGTCTCTGCTGGGTAACGCCGCTCCTGGGCAGCCTGGCGGACGGCCGCGTTACCGAAACGTCCTCCTGGTGTGCATGGTGCTGAGGGATCACCGGGGAAATTATTTTCTCAACCCGACTTCGTCATGACAGATACTTCAATAGCAGCTTCTAGAAACTGCCCGGAGGACCCCCGCCCCAGTTCAGGGTCACAGGTCCTTCCAGTTGATGGGTTCCTTGCCGGACTTGCGCAGCAGCTCGTTGGTTTTGGAGAAATGTCTGCACCCAAAGAACCCTCGGTACACCGACAGAGGGGAGGGGTGGGCGGTCTGCAGCACATGGTGGCGCTTCTGGAGAGAGAAAGAGAAAGACCAAGAGTTGGCACGGCTGGGTCTCTGAAGACAGTGTGCCCTCCCCCTTTGCACTTTCTAAATCCTCCCACTTTGCAAAGTGTATTTATTTGCCTTCGGTGTTCCTAGGAGGACATCAGTGCACTCACTCACTTGTGAGGCAACTGCCTTTGCTAGGCTCTGAGGCTGCGAGGACCAGTCTCGGCCTCCAACTTGGCACTGTCTATGCCATCTCTTTAAGTGCCTGATGAGCCAGGAACCCACTGCTGAGGATATATTTGCTAAAGGACACCCTGATGCAGGTACCTACACAAAGACGCAGGTTTAAGGGGGTTCATGGCAGCACTGCTTCTCCGGGTAAAACCAACCCAATATAAATGCAGTGTCATGCGATGAGCTAAAAATATTTTTCTCAAGTTCTTACAATGAAACACCCCTCCCCCCCCATACTAGAATAAGGTGAGCTACATACGCTGATAGACCTCCAAAACATATCAAATTTTTTTTAAAAGGGATAATTGCGTTACAAATTTTTTTTTGGGGAAAAAATTACCCCAAACACTATTTGTAGTAGTTCCTTCAGGGAAAAGAACTAGTGGAAAGCATGTGAGCCTCGGTCACTGTTGGGGTGTGCGCAGGAAGCAACCATTGATGTCTCTCCCCACCGGCCCCCCACTGGCCCCCACTTCTACTCTCTCTAAAAAGTAATAGAAAAAATATCCTTGGGTGAGGATTAACAACAAAAAAGGGACTACTTTGATTTTTACATTTTCAACAGTCATTAACTGAATGGGAAGATTAGACTTTTTATTCTTTTCTACATTTAAATTATAACCACCTAACAAATATTTTCAAACATCACTGCCTTCAAGTTGCTCGGTCCAGGAGGGTCCTTAACTGAAGCCAGGCAGCCCTGTGGTTAAAAGCACAGAGTGTCTTCACCCCTTAGTTGGGTAGCCACAGGGAAGTCAAGTTTCATTTTTCATCTGTAAATTGGGAATATCAACAGCGCCTAGCTTGTTTGTGGAGAATATTGTGAGAAGTAATTGAGGTCAAGTGCTCGTTAGCACCCTGTCTGGCAAGCAGTCCAGGCCCCTGGAAATGTGAGCTGTGCTGAGCTTGGGAGGATGGCTTAGCCTCTGGGGAAGACAGAGACCTCTCCCGCAGGACAAAGGAAGCGAGGGTGTTAAAGGCTGTTCAAAGGCGGGAAAGTGGGGCACAGGAAACAAACCCGAGATGTGCCTGCAGGCAGCCTGGAGTGGAGAGAGAAGCAAGCATGTCCCAGATCCCAGCTTATCAGCCTAAGTCAAGGCCTTCAGGGAGAAGGCATGAATGCTCCAGGCAAGATCAGAGGGGCCGCCCTGACTGGTTTGGCTCAGTGGATAGAGCATCAGCCTGCGGACTCAAGAGTTCCAGGTTCGATTCCAGTCAAGGGCATGTACTTTGGCTGCGGGCACATCGCCAGTGGGCGGTATGCAGGAGGCAGCTAATCGATGTTTCTCTCTCATCGATGTTTCTAACTCTCTATCCCTCTCCTTTCCTCTCTGTAAAAAAATCAATAAAATATATTTAAAAAAAAAAAAAAAATCAGAGGGGCCTAAAACAAGGCAAAGGTATTTGGGGGTAAAGGGGACGTTTTTTGAAAGATGAGAGAACTTGGGCCAGGAATGACAGACTGGAAGGGGAATGGGGGAGGGAGAGGAAGAAAGGGAAGAGAGGTCGGGAGGTATAACAAATGATATCTGATTTGATTTCTGGCTGGACAACTGGATAGATCAGCGATTTTCAACCTTTCTCATCTGATGGCACACATGTTCTACCAAAATTCTGCGGCACACCAAATTCATTCACACCAGACGGCTATGGTTGTGTTGGCTGTTGTCATTTTTAAATTTGACAATCTGCCGAAACCGGTTTGGCTCAATGGATAGAGCGTCGGCTTGGGGACTGGAGGACCCGGGTTCGATTCTGGTCAAGGGCATGTACTTTGGTTGCGGGCATATCCCCAGTAGGGGGTGTGCAAGAGGCAGCTGGTCGATGACTCTCTCTCATCGATGTTTCTAACTCTCTATCTCTCTCCCTTCCTCTCTGTACAAAATCAATAAAATATATAAAAAATAAATAAATAAATAAATAAAAATAAATTTGACAATCTAAGAGAAAAGTGGCCAGTGCCCCCTCGTGTTGCCATGTTTAAAAATTCTTGCGGCACACGGGTTGAAAACTGCTGACTTATTGTAACTATTTGCTAAATGAATGGTAGCTGGGGATCTGTGTACTTTCCTACGTATATGGCAAGTTTATGCCTATTATTAGTAAATCCTAAATTGGCTAGCCACTCTCCTCGTTACCGTAATTTGTCTAAATGTTGTTCAATTTCCAACCCTAATTACCAGTCTTCAGGGAGAAGAAGCTTCCTTTTATGGCAAGGATTTTCCAGGACCACGCTGCAAGGATGTCTAGCTCCTCACCAGTTTAAACTGTGAAAAACCACATACCCTGTCGATGGCACTGCCCTTCTTCTGAGCATAAGAGCCCCAGAGCAAGAAGACGAGGCCACTGGAGTTCTGATTCAGCCAGGACACGACCGCGTCGGTAAACTGCTCCCAGCCTCTCTCCTTGTGAGAATTGGCCTGATGCGCCCGGACGGTGAGGACAGCGTTGAGTAGGAGAACACCTATGGACATCCACCAGAGAAAGAGGTTAAAGGCAGGATGAGACGAGTCAGCCAAGGTCAGGGCTAACTATCTGCAGGAGGAAAGCATCCTCGAGATGGGACCGAGCGGCCGGCTGAAATTCGGCCATTAGAGAAAGCATTTCAGCGGACTGCTGGGCACTTCTGGGTGCTACCAGAGGGCACTGAACTTTCACCTCTGCACTTTCAACACCTTTGCGAGTTTGCAACAGTAATGTGCATAGACACCGTCGGTCATCAGAAAGAACTGTTTTTAAACAATATCGTGATATTAAATAACTCCAGAAAATAACAAAAGGAGGCCACAGTGTTTTACTGAGGGGAAAAAAAAAAATCTAACTCAAGAAACCAAAGGGTTGCAGGAACCGGTGTGGCTCAGTGGATAAGAGCATTAGCCTGCGGACTGAAAGGTCTCAGGTTCGATTCCGGTCAAGGGCATGTACCTTGGTTGCGAGCACGTTCCCAGTGGGGGATGTGCAGGAGGCAGCTGATCGATGTTTCTAGCTCTCTATCCCTCTCCCTTCCTCTCTGAAAAATCAATAAAATATATATTTTAAAAAAAAAGAGACCAAAGGGCAAATACTTTTTCCTTATCCTGGTTGTAACTTATTTGTTAAAAAAAGAAAAAGCCCTGGTTGGTGTGGCTCAGTTGGCTGGGCACCGTGCCGTGCAAGGAAGGGTTGCCTAGGTTACAGGCTTGATCCATGGTAGGTGGCATGCAGGAGGCAGCTGATGGTTGCTTCATGCAGGAGGCAGCTGATGGTTGCTTCACTCTCACATCAATGTTTCTCTCTCTCCCCGCCTCTCTCTCCCTCTTTTTTTTAAAAATATTTTTTTATTGATTTTTTTACAGAGAGGAAGGGAGAGGGTTAGAGAGTTAAGAAACATTGATGAGAATCATCGATCAGCTGCCTCTTGCACACCCCCTACTGGGGATGTGCCCGCAACCAAGGTACATGCCCTTGACCAGAATCGAACCTGGGACCTTTCAGTCTGCAGGCCGACGCTCTATCCAGAGCCAAACCAGTTTCGGCCCCTCCTCTCTTTAAAAAACAAAAACAAAAAAAAAAATCAAAGGAAAAATTTAGGGGTTTTTTTGTTTTGTTTTTTTAAATATATTTTATTGATTTTGTACAGAGAGGAAGGGAGATAGTTAGAAACATCGATGAGAGAGAGTCATTGATCAGCTGCCTCTTGCACGCCCCCTAATAGGGATGTGCCCGCAACCAAGGTACATGCCCTTGACCAGAATCGAACCTGGGACCCTTCAGTCCCCAAGCCGATGCTCTATCCATTGAGCCAAACCGGTCTCGGCTAGTTTTTTTTTTTTTTTTTTTTTTTAAAGAAACCCATAGGTATTAAATACATACACCACCACCTATGTGGAAATATTATAACAAAAGTGAGGACAAAATAATAACAAAAGGGAACACAGTTTTAAAATTATGATTAAAACATGAAAGAACGGGGCTGGAAGACAATCGGGGGAAAAAGGAGACATATGTAATATTTTAACAATAAAAAAAAAAAAAAAACCATGAAAGAAAAAGGAGGAAACATTGGCTGAGGGTAAAACGAAGATTCATTTTCTGACTTATATAAGTTTAGTCACGTTAGCCACGTGTAACAGTGGTTGGTTTACCTTGCTTGGCCCAGCCAGATAAGTCTCCATGGCCAGGATGGACAAAACCTTCGATGTCTGTAGACAGCTCTTTATAAATGTTTTCCAAGCTGAAAGCAAGCCGGAAGAAAAAAAGCAATCTTAAGTACAACTCGCAAAATTCAGCAACTTCCAACAGACGTGTGAATTACAGCGGGTAAAGCCAGCCATTCCTGCTGACAGGTACATTTTCAGTCTGTATTTGGATTTAAGGAACAGCACTTCGGAAAACTTACTAAGCACACATTAGCCCAGGAGTTACAATCTCCCTCCCGATGGATGCTTAGTTACAGTTTTATATCTCATAAAAACCCTCTAGCCCAGCCAGCATGGCTCAGTATAGTTGAGCGTCGACCTATGGACCAGAAGGTCACGCTTACATTCCCTGTCAGAACACATGCCCAGGTGGTGGGCTTGATCCCCAGTAGAGGATGTAGGAGGCAGCAGATCAATGATTCTCTCTCATCATTGTTTCTCTCTCTCTCTCTCTCTCTCTCTCTCTCTCCCTCCCTCCCTCCCTCCCTCTCTGAAATTAACGAGGAAAAAAAAGAATAGGCTAGCGAAAGACCCCCAAACAGGCGAACCAATCAGTTAATACAGCATTCTCTGCGCTGACCAGTTTGCTCAGTGGATAGAGCATTGGCCTGTGGACTGAAAGGTCCCAGGTTTGATTCCGGTCAAGGGCATGTACCTTGGTTACGGGCACATCCCCAGTAGGAGGTGTGCAAGAAGCAGCTGATCGATGTTTCTCTCTCATCGATGTTTGTCTATCCCTCTCCCTTCCGTCTGTAAAAATAAATAAATAAATAAAATATATTTTTAAAACAGTGGACACCCACCGGTGGTCCGTGAGGTCCAAAAGGTTGGCGACCGCGGATTGAAGGAGCCCACGCCTGCAATTGGCCCCGAGCCACCCATAAAGCAATCGTACCTGGGCGGAGGCGGAACAGGTCTTTGAACGCTAAAGCAGAGCCCGTGAGCTTGATTGGGTCCATGATATGGATCCTGTCCCAGGATGACAACCTTCACCTGCGAATGCCAGGTGGCAAATTAAACAATACTCTAGCGTAGGCAGTGAAATGAACACGGGGCTGACTGCTGACCTAAACAAAGGGACCGGATAATGAGAAGAGCGACCCCCTGTCCCTCCTCCCACCCAAACTGGAACAGCCCCGAAGAAAGCAGATGGCCTGGTGTCTTACCCATTTTCCATGACCAAATTCTCCTTCACTCAACCACTCTACCACACTGCCCCCTCCCTTCTGACTCAGGGATTGGAAACAAGTTAGGGTCCACTTTGCTTTCATTCCCTTCACTGGTCAAATGACAAAAGTAAATACTCCTTGAAAACAAGTACAACCACCCAGAAAGATACAAAGTGGTTAGTCATCTTCCCAGTTATCCTATCCCATCCTCATTTTTTTTTTTTAAATTACCTACAGAATTGGGGTTATTGTACTCATTACCCTACACTTGGTGTTCCTCGCATCACACACGTTAGCCTTCCAGTTACAGAGCCCAGTCACTGATGGGCAGACAGCTTGTTTTCCATCACAGAAAGCCACGTGGCAAGCACCCTGCTATGAACGTCTCCCCACTGTCGCTTTTATTTCTGTGGGTTACTTATAATAGGGGAGCTGCTGGTCAAAGGGTACGTGTATTTAAAATCCTCATTTCCAACGAGTTGAAGCAATTGGAATTCCCCGCCGGCAGCATGCGAAGGGGCCTGTTCCCCTCGATCTTCTAAGGAAGGAAACCAGAAGGTAAAGAGGTCGGTCGGTCAAGAGCCACAGGAGGAGGAGGAGGCGGCGAGAGGCAGTGAGAAGTAACTAGGTCACTGTCACGGGCTGGGCGAAGGCACGGCGAGTCCTTTGGATCGGGAGGCCGCCCACCTCTTCTTCCTTCTCATGCTTCTGCTCAAGGGTCACCTTCTTGGAATCTTCTTCCCCAGATGACACGCACCTTATCCTTCAGAGTCCGGCTTCAGACAGCCCCGTCAGCGGGAAGCTTCCACGGGTCTCTCCCTTCCTGCCGCTGGTGCTCACATGGTCCCCAGCACGAAGCCACCTGGCCCAGCACGGAAGCTGGGTCCAGGACAGGTTGGAGGAGCCAGGTGACCTCCCTGAACCGCCACATGCTCATGTGAAAGGTCACTCCACATGTGTAAGATCCCCAGTCTCGGGCTCTTTTCTTATTCTTCCCTAATTACATTGATCACTGGTATTCCAACCAGAACACCGACTCAACTAAGGGGCAAAACGGTAGTGAATTTAAAATAACTTGGGTTTGTTTTTTTTTTTTGTTTGTTTTTTTCTAACTTCAGAAACAAGGAGCTACATCCAAAGTCCTGACTCTAAAATGAAAACTGTGAAGTTGGCTAAGAACCAGGCATAGTAGCCTTATCAGGATGGCTTATTCACCCATTTCACTTCTACTTAACAGATATTTACTATCATAAGTTGCGGGATTCCTGCCTTCAACTTACAAAAGGGGAGGGAAAAGCGTAAGAAGGAAGTGTAAAAGCCTCCCATGTAAGCAGACACTAAGCGTATTTGGAGGGATTTGAGGAAAAGCTCCAGATCACAACAGGAGTGGAAAACGGGATTCAGAAAAGAAAAGGCCAAAGGAAAAAAATTTAATTTAATAAATCTTTATTGTTCAGATTAAAAACAAACAAACAAACAAACAAAAAAAAAAAAAAACGGGATTCAGTGAGGTGGTTGGTTTTAAAAGACAGCAGTGAGGTGAGGCCTGCCACAGTGTTCAATTCTGATGTAAAAGAACGTGTGTGTGTAAAAAAAAAAAAAAAAAAAAAAAAAAAAAAAGTGTGTGTGTGTGGAGGAAAGGCTGGCTAAGTAGGACATGGCCACGTGCATGCAGCTTCAGGCAGTGGGAAGCCAGACCAGCTTCTGAACAGGAGACTGACGTGACTAGAGCCCCAGGCAGCAGCCTGGTTGTATAACCAAGGGATTTGGTAACATAACCGGGTGGGAGAGCTGTTTGGGCCAGAAGTTAAGAGACGAAAGGACAGCGTGGTCAGACAGAAAGAATACCGAGCTTCAAGTCAAGGTGGAAGAGAGTAACTCCTTCATGCCTCAGTTTCCCCATTACTACCACAATAACACTTACCACTGGTCTGGGATTGGGTTCAGGATTAAATAAAATACAAGAAAGGAGAGCATACAGACACAATGGTCTATGTCAAAAATAAAAGGTTAAAATATAGCCTGACAAATCTCACAATTTTAGTATTTTATTTTGTTAAAATGTGGACAGTGTTTTAACTCCAGTGTCCCTAATTAAGAAATACTATTTGACTCTCACTCTTCTTTTGCAAAAATTCACCCACAACCTGCACTTACATCTCTTATGTTGCACATTTGGGTCCAGGTGAAGACTTGGTGTGGGGGCGGATAAACAGTGTAATGTCTTCTTTCTTCTGCAACAAATCCCATCAGCTGATTGAAAAAGAAACTAGATTTAAAATCAGACTCTCACTGAAAAGCATATGAATTCAGTAAGAAAGTTAACTGAAGCATCATGTAACTCTTTGCTATGTTTAATGTCCCAATTCTTTTTTGCCCTGGCCTGGTAGCTCAGATGGTTAGAGCCATACACCAAGGTTACAGGTTCTATCTCCAGTAAAGGCACATCATTAAAAATAAGTAAGAAAAAAAAAATCTGAATAATTTATAAGAAAAACCAGCAAATAAAAACAGTACCTGCTCCCTCCCCACCAAAGTTGCTCAATCTCTTCACCCCGCCCTCTCTTTGGGCTGAGCCAAAGTCGATTGGCTTAGTCGCTCTGATTTCCTGTTAATGCCAGCCCCTCCCTCTTCCTTTTTAAAAGGCGGAGCTAGGTTTCAAGCAGCCTGGTTTGTGGTTTTTACTTTGCTACTCTTTCCTGGATAGCAGACTGACTAGATGGGTTAAAAGAAGTCACAGGCATCACCTTAACTCGTTTAGAGACGAATAAAAATGTGCAGGTTCAAAACACCATAGTTAACGGGAAAACAGGAGACTAAGAAAGCAATAGCCTATACATGTGGCCTCGGCCCGCTATAGGCTCACAAGACTACGGGCCCGCAGCCTCCTCCTTTTACCTTTATAAAATACGGTTTTCCGAACTCTCCGCTGAGGTGCTTCTTCCAGCTCTCACCGAAACCCACCGGCACGTTGCGAGCCGCGAGTTTGAGCAAGGCCGCGGCCTTGTTCTTCTGGATGCGGTCCAGCTGCTCAGGGCTCAGCGGCGACGAGGGCGGTGTGCCGGGCTCCTCCTGCTCCGCCCGGGCCTTCTTGGCGGGGCTGACCTGCAAGTGGTCCCCGCGGAGGCGGGTCAGGATCCACAGCGGACCTCTCCCGGGCACCAGCAGGTTTCGCCCCCGACCCAAAGGCCCATAGCAGAGGACGCCCATCCGTGGGCTTCAGCCCCACCCGGAGGATCAGTGCAAAACCGGACTCCTGGAACCCGCGCTTAGCAAGCCGACGCCCCAAATTTCGTGTTTGGTATGAATAACCGGGCGGAATGGAGGGGTGCGCTGCAGGGGAAGCCCCGCTGCAACCAGGCGCCCCGCCCCGCCCCGCCAGACCCGCCACTGCGCGTCCCCACGTGGTCTTTTCGCGGCAAAAAAACTCTCCGAGGCCCCGCCCCTCCCTCCGTCCGATTGGACGAGAGCGAGAAGGGCGGCCCCCTCGCCTCTGATTGGCGCCGTGGGCTCCCAAGTGCGCCCCTATTGGCTGGCCCCTCAGCAAAGCCGCCGATGGCGGGGAACGCGCCGGTTGTTTTGAATTAGAGTGAAGGCAGCTTTAGAGACACGAGACTCCCACGTTTCCCAAGTCAGGGCTGCGTTCCTGCAAACTCTTCAGCCGCGCGGTCCCCGCCGTCTTACCCCCTCTCCCTTTCCCTCTCCCTTCCGCCTTCCCCGGCCCCACGAGCGGACGGTCCCCGCCGCGCCTCACCTCTGCACCCACGGCCGCCACGCCGGTCCCCGGGGCGGCCGGCTCGGGGCTGCGGGCGCGTCGCTTCCCGGCGGGGCTCGGGGAGAAGAAGGAGTGGAGCGTCTTCTGGCCGATCATCCCGAAGCCGCCCGGGGGCCCGCGAGGCTGGGGGAAGCGGAGGCGCGCCGCCCGGGGTCCGGCGGGCAGGCAGGCGCTGGCAGCGGCGGTTCGCAATTGGCGCCAAGCCGCGCGCGCATGCTCCCACCGAGGGGGTGGGCTGGGCGGGGGGCGGCGGAGGGCCTAGTGCGCATGTGCGGGAGGGGCTGCTGGGGGCAGGGTTTCCTTAGGTGGATCCATTCATTGGTTTGCTCCGTATTTCCCCATTCCTCTGCCTTGGGGCAAGTCCCTGCATTCTGCCTGCTAAGTGGGGGGGAGGGGGAGTGGTAGAAGATAAAAGTACCTGCCAGGTAGTGGGAGTGAAATTAGCATTAAAATACTATTTGTTGCCGAAACCGGTTTGGCTCCGTGGATAGAGCGTCAGCCTGCGGACTGAAAAGTCCCAGGTTCGATGGTTGCGAGCACATCCCCAGTAAGGGGTGTGCAAGAGGCAGCTGATCGATGTTTCTAACTCTCTGTCCCTCTCTCTTTCTCTCTGTAAAAAATCAATAAAATATATTAAAAATTTTTTAAAAAAATACTATTTGTTGAGCTCTTAGATACTACATTGTCTCGTCCAATTTTCCCAACCCATTTTACTGACAACAACACAGTGCCTTACCTGTGAGTTTTGGGAAGACTTTGAAGGCGTGAAGGTTGAACTCCAAAATAGTCATCCTCTGTAAGGAACCCCTGCCCCCGGCCCCCCCAGAACACCTCCTGTCCTTCCCTCCCCACATCCAAGCCATCAACAGGTCCAATTGGTTGTCTCCAAAAATAAAGCCTGAATTCAACAGCTGCCCTCTCGTTCTACTGGCCAAAATCCCAGCTGGCTACATCTTTCCTACCAAGTGATCTGTTTGGAAGGCAAAATTATTAGTAATTTCACATTACAAACAGTTTCCAAGTATGCTTAGCGTAGGATGCCAGCTTGTCCCTCTGCTGGCAAGGCTGCTTCCCTCTCGGACAGCCCCTACGAGGGTGGCATTACTGAGTCTGGGTCTCGGCTTGCACTTGAACATAACCAGCTTGTCCCCTCGTGTGGCATTCACACCCTTGCACGCAGCATTCCCTGCTTGGAAGCTTCAGGTCTCAGCCTGGGTCCCTTCCTGCCGGTCACTCTATTTATAGCTTCTGTATTACCGAAGGTTATCCTGTGTATTCTTTCCTTGCTTATTTCTGTCTGCAGCCCCAAAATGTAGCCCGAGTGAGGGCAGGACTGTATTCTTGTTAACAGATGTGTTTCAGGGCTTAGAACAAGGAGCTTGATGGGTAAGAGAGGAGCTCATACTGTAAAATCGTTTACCCACACAGCAACTAACTCCCTGTCGGGCTCCCAGATGAGTCCCCAGGGAGAGGTGCACCGAGTAACAGCTCCCAAACCAAAGGATGATCCTCAACAGTCACAGAGCAGATCCTAAACTCAAAAAACATGTAACACAGCACTTGCAACACGCCCAGGAGGCCAACAGGTGGCGCTCGGAGGCCGCCCCCTGCCTTGTTTGGCAGCTCTGCCTGCATTTCCCAGCTTGCTGGTCGAAATCCACCCGGAAGTACTGCTGCGGTCCTGGGTGAGTGTTTTCTCCTTCCCGGGGGGGCCCCCCTCCCCCATTTACAGTGTTTGCGGGGTTCGGAAGCTGCACAGATGCTGAGATTTTAGAGAACCCTCATCACCCCACTCACGCAGGTGTTACAGTTATTTCTCATCAGAATTCCAGTACTTGCCTATGGATCACGTTGAACTGTTTATACGTAGATTAAGAATCATAGCCAGCCCTAGCCGGTTTGGCTCAGTGCATAGAGCCTGGGCTTGCGGACTGAAGGGTCCCCCGTCTAGGGCACTGCCGGAGTTGCCCGCTCCATCCCTAGTTGGGGGGGGAGGGAGGGGAGAGAAGGGCGCGTGCAGGAGGCAGCCAATCAACGATTCTCTTTCATCATTGATGTTTCCATCTCTCCCTCTCCCTCTCTGAAATCAGTGAGAGAAAGAAAAGGAAAAAAAAAAAAAAATCCTATCCACTTGAGGATCACTATACTTGTTTATTTTAGTTCAGTATTTTAGTATCACTGTATTTGCTTGTCTATTTAATTTTAATACTGGTGTGGGCCGGGCAGGCGGCTAGGGTGAAAGGGAGATAGACACACTGCTTTTCTAGTGACATTGTGGCAGGCAAGCCCCTCACTTTCTCCTAGTGTTACTTCCCCATCTGTAAATTTGCCTGTACAGTGTGAATTGGGGGTGGTGGTGGTGGGGCGCATGTCGATAAAAATACTGGTGCCCGCCCAGACAATCTGGCTCCGTGGTTGAGCTTTGACCTATGAATGAGGAGGCCACAGCTCCATTCCGGGTCAGGGCACATGCAGGGGTTCCAGGCTCCATCCCCAGTGAGAGGCTTGCAGGAGGCAGCCGATCAATGCTTCTCTCGCATCATTGATGTCTCTATCACTCTCTCCCTCTCCCTTCCTCTCTGAAATCAATAAAAGTTTATTTTTAAAAACCTTCAGGTGCTTGCGGGAGGAGTGCAGGCATTTGGGTTTTTTTTGGCAAGCTAGCCAGCTGATTCCAGCATGGCCAGGTGTGCGAGACCCTGGGCTAGACCAGATCATCCCAGCTTTAATCACCTACTTCCTTTCTAGCACTTGGCGTTAAACTTTCCAATGACAACCTGAAGACAGCAAGGAGGAATGCTGCTTGGATCCCTTTGCCGTAGAGCCCATTTTTGCATCTGGGACAGAGCCTGGGCTGTGTCTCTCTCTCTCTGCCCCACCACTGACTCCCAGGTCTTTGCTCTGTGGAGACAGGATGGACAGATTCCTGGAGAAGAGGGCTCTGGGGAGCCCTGAGGGAAAGAGGGAGCAGGAGCAGGCAGGAACAGGCCCAGCCGAGTTGGGAGAAGACGAGGAAAGCACCGGGAAAAGGCCCAGGACAGAAAGACCCAGGAATGGCGCTGGCTTGGGGGGCCTCAGCTGGCGACGCATTCGGTCCGAGGGCCTGGACTGCGATTACACAGTCCTGTTTGGCAAAGCCGAGGCGGACGAGATTTTCCGAGAGTTGGAGCGAGAAGTGGAGTATTTTACAGGTAAGCAGAGGACTGCAGGCTGTGTGCGGAAGGCTTGTTTGACAAAACGAGTCCACGTTTAGAGAAATCGGAACTCAGGAGCCATTAATTACTGATGAGTTTGTTAGTTGATTTGACACATTCTCTGGGCCCCTTGTGGGCCAAGATCCTCTCGAGGTGCTTGGGATAAAAACTTAAAACAAAACAAAACCAAAAAAACAGGATTGCCTGCCCACTGGGGGCTGACAGACAGCTAGAGTGAATCTCCACCGGGAGAATCAGCTAGGAAAGTTGAAAAAAGAAAAAGATACTGAGTTCTGACTGAGATCAGTGGAATCAGAGTAGCTGGGGGCGAGCCTGAGCATCAGTATTTTCCAGTGAACCCAACGTGCAGCCAGGGCTGGGGACCACTGGTCCGGGGAAGATGGCAAATGGCCCGGTAATCGGGCAGTGCTCTCAGCATCACCAGAGGACTCCTTTGTGTTCACTCCGGTGCCTGGGCCCCGCCCCAGAGACTAGTGTCTGCATTGTCAGGTCTTGTAGTCATGAAGAGGCAGTGGGGTACCTCACATTGAGAACCAGCAAGGCGGCAGAGCACTAGGAGGCACAGGAAAGCCCACAGGGGACCCCAGCCTACAGACTAAGCTGTGTGAGCCCCACCTTTCAGGGGGCCCTAGACCCTTGGTCTCCACAGTGGGCAAAATCACCTCCGTGTGTATCACCCCTAACTTTATCTCGCTCACATCTCGGCCTCTTTCTTCTGTTCCTGCCGTAGTTAAGGTGATTAAGTTATGGTGTTCTTAAAATAATTGGATTAGGACTATTTTCTCTAAGTGTAGGACAAGAATCACTGTTCTTTTTTTAAAAAAAATATGTTTTCATTGATTTCAGAGAGGAAGGGAAAGGGAGAGAGAACCATTGATTGGCTGATTCCTGCATGCCCCACACGACAGATTGTATTAAGTTATCCCTGCCCTGGCTGGGTAGCTGAGTTGGTTAGAGCCGTGGTCGACAAACTGCGGCTCGCAAGCCATTTGCTGCTCTTTGGCCCCTTGAGGGTGGCTCTTCCACAGAATACCACGGCCTGGGCGAGTCTATGTTGAAGAAGTGGCATTAGAAGAAGTTTAAAAAATGTGGCTCTCAAAGGAAATTTCAATCGTCTTACTGTTGATATTTGGCTCTGTGGACTAATGAGTTTGCCGACCACGGGGTGGTTAGAGCTTTGTCCAGATACACCGAGATCTTGGGTTCGATCCTGAGTCAGACCACATACAAGAACCAACCAATGAATTCATAAATAAGTGGAACAACAAATATCTCTCTCTCTCTCTCTCTCTCTCTCTCTCTCTCTCTCTCTCTCTCCCTGTCCCTCTCTCTCTCCTTCTAATATCATTCGGTGTCTTTTATTTAATGATCCTGAATATACTCAGGTCATGAGTGTGCAGGCACCCCCTGCCCAGTTCTCTGAGTTGCCATGCTTCCTCTGCACAGGTGCGCTGGCCAAGGTGCAGGTGTTTGGCAAATGGCACAGCGTGCCCAGGAAACAGGCGACGTACGGTGACGCTGGGCTGACCTACACGTTTTCCGGCCTCACTCTGTCCCCCAAACCCTGGGTCCCCGTGCTGGAGCGGGTCCGGGACCGCGTCTCTTCGGTGACTGGGCAGACCTTCAACTTCGTGCTCGTTAACAGGTGACACCCTGCTTGTCTTTTACTCTCCTTTTAGGCCCCGGCACTGAATTTTACCAATCTCTGCCTCTTCCAAAAGGGAGAGGTTAGGCTTCCTCCAGATTTGATTCCTTGGCACCACGGGTAACCCCTTAGTGCACCAGGGCTGTGGGTGGCGGAGGGGCATGAGCAGCCGGTCTTCCTGGAGCTCCTGCCTCAGGGGAAGGGAGGGGTGATTCACTGCTGAACAGCTGAATGAGATCATGTCAGACGCTGATCAGTGTCTGGCTGATTTGACCAAAAATGGGCAGCAGGAAGGGGTCTGGGTTCAGGGCAGGGTTTCTCACAGGATGATTCTGTGGTGCGGACGGTCCTATACTTTGTAGGAAGTTGAGAGCAGCGTTCCTGATCTCCACCCACTAGATGCCAGTAGCATCCCCCGTAGTCATGGCAACCAAAACATCCCCAGACACACTGCCCAGTCCCGGAGTGGGGCAGGATCTCCTGGTTGAGAACTCTGGGTGTAGGGGGTGGCAGTTAGAGGAGGGCTCTCAGAGGCGCTGACCTGAACTGGTAACTAAAAGGGGAGAGAGCAGGAGCCACTGGGCAGAAGAGCAGAGGGATCTTGGTGTCTATGGAGTGAACATCCCATTGATGTTTCCAGAAAGCAGTGAATGAGGGAAAGGGGGCTGGGGTGAGCTCAGAGGTGGGCCAAGGGCCAGACGGCGGAAGGAATATGGATTTTATCTAGGTGTAGGGAAAGACTTTTGTTGTTGTTAATCCTCACCCGAGGATATTGTTTCCCATTGATTTTTAGAGAGAGAGAGTGGAATGGAGGGAGGGCGAGAGAAGAGAGGGAGAAACATTGATGCGAGAGAGATACATCAAATGGTTGCCTCCTGAATGTGCCTGACGGGACTGGGGAATTGAACCTGTAACCCAGGTTATGTGCCCTTGACCGGGAATCGAACCTGCAACCTTTCTGTGCTAGAGTTGACACTCTAAACTCTGGCGGGGCAGGGAGAGATCTTTTCATGATAAAGGTTTATATATGTGAACCAGGAGAACTAGGAAACATGTTCTGGTTTCTCTTGGTTGTTGAGTTTTCAAGCATGTGACCGACGAGGACTGGGTAACCCAGTGAGAAGGCCCTAGACGTGGCTCACCTGTAGGACCAGGTAAGGCCCTCGGGCCTTGCGGAAAGCGGCATGCTGGGAGCAGCTGTTCACACGGTGAGAAATGAGGATGCCCAGTGCTGGCACGCAGGAGCAAGCTGTGCCGTGAGCTGTGCCCGCTTCCTCACCGCAGGTACAAGGACGGCCGCGACCACATCGGGGAACACCGAGATGACGAACGAGAGCTGGCTCCTGGGAGCCCCATCGCCTCCGTCTCCTTTGGGGCCTGCAGAGACTTCCTCTTCCGCCACAAAGACGCTCTCGGGAGGAGCCGCTCCCGGAGGCTGGAGGCGATCAGGCTGCCGCTGGCCCACGGGAGTTTACTGATGATGAACCACCCGACCAACGCTCACTGGTATCACAGTCTCCCCGTCCGCAAGAAGGTTCTGGCTCCGCGCGTCAATCTGACCTTTCGCAAAATCCTGCCTACTAGGAAGTGAAAATATTTTTCCGTTAGGACTTCTGTCATCTCCTTGCCTCTCTGCTCGAGGATGGAGCTGGCATGGCCTTTACCAACAGGGAAAGGAAAGGTTATTCCTGGCTCAGTCGGTAGGAGCGTACTTCCACACACTGAAAGGTCCCAGGTTCGAATCCTGGCCAGAGCACATGCCTAGATTGCGGTTTCCATCTCTGGCTCCAGCTGGGGCGTGGTCAGGGCAAGTGTAGCAGGCAACCGATCAATGTTTCCCTCATCCTCCCTTCCCCACTCTCTCCAAACCAGCGAAAATGTCCTTGGGTGAGGATTTAAAAAATAAATTATGAAAGGATACCAGTTGATTTTTTTTTTCCTGAAAATGATTCTTTTATTGCTATAATACAGAGCAGATACAAAAGGTGTCTTTACCAAGTACATAAATCAGCAGTTAATATGGCAGAAACTACTACTTTAGCTTAAGTTCTTTTGCAAAAAGAAGCTGTTTTGTAAATAACTTAAGACTAGAAATAAGATCATTTGGCCGCTACGTAACACCTGGTAATTTACAAAACGGGAGAAAGCCAGGTTAAGAGACTCTGCACGGTACCATTTACAACCTTGGCCTCTGACCAACAATCTGCTTACGACGCGTTCAAAGGATGAGCCTTCCGTGCCCGGCATCTCTCTGGAACGGCAGGTTTCAAAGAGGAGCAGTAGTTACTCAAAGCTACTGGTGTGCAGTGCGGTTTAAGGTCACACGATGGGGTGTTTGTCCCACCAGCCTCGGGTAACACGGGTATGCACGCTCGTTTCAACATCACAGCCAGGTTCTGCCACGGAATCGGGGGGGGGGGAGGGGGCAGAAGTGAGTGGCTGGACCAGACGCTTCCAACTGCCCCTCACGCCGCCGGCCATGCCCTGGAGAGCCTTCACAGTATGTGCTATCCGTAACGAGAGCCCAGAGTCTGTGTCCTCCGAGTGTGAGCTGGGCCAGGCGGAAGCATGGCCTCCTGAGCTTTTAGCGGACACCGAGGCATCTTCTAGAAGGGTCCGCTTGCTTGCCCCCACCGGAGAAGTGCGGCTCTTGAGACTTACCTCAGGCAGCCTATTGGGCAGGTCTGATTCCACATCTTCTCTCTGAAGAGTCCACACGAATTTGGTATCCATTTCCTTCTTTTAAAATACACAAATCTCGCTAAACTACATACTCCTGTGTCATCAAAATGCCTTCGGCCTGGTCTGTGTTCGTGCCGCTTACCTGGAGAGGGAAGAGCTTGCTCCCCGTGCTGTCTCTGGGTGAGGCTGCTGGGGACAAATGCGTTTAGAATATGGACCCATAACAGGACAGTACCAGGTGTCAGCTATAGTTCTGTGGTTAAAAAATAACTTGGACTTCTTTTTTGTGGAAAAGCCTGGCCTTGGATGGTCACCGAGTCTAACCCTTCACTTTAGGATGAGGAAACGGGTCCATGGAGACGGCAGCCCCGGGGTCAGTGCCTTTCCTTCCGGGTTAGGCTCTCACATCCAGGCAGGGCTGTCTGCTTACCCGGCCCCTGGCCCCACTTGGAAGTCCGGCGAGCTCCGCCCGAGCAATAAATAAATAGAAGAGAATAACGGTCCACACTGGGTCTCTGGGGGAGAAAAGTGTCTTCTCCAGAGCAGAGGGGTCGCAGGGGAGCCCACGCCGCTCAGGCCTGGCTGTCCACGCGGGTTGATAAGCCCGCCCAGTCCCACCCTGAAGGTAAAAGCAATGAGTGAGCCGGTCACTAGCACCGACGTGGTCGTGAACGGGGTCCCCGAGGGGCAGATTTGGCAGATGCGCTTGCGCTGGGTACAACGGAGCGGGAGGCTAGAAAAAGACGTACAAAAAGGAAAGGCAGGTTTCTGCGGGCATCCCTTCCCTGTCCTCCAGCCAGCCACCGGGAAACCTGGGAGAGAGCTTTTCCAAGACTGTTGCTGCGACTCTTAGAGAAAGTGCGTTTTCCAGAGCGGACAGGCCACAAAAAGCAACCGGAAGTGAAAGGCACTTTTGCTTCCTCACTGTTGCCTTCGATCATTTCACGCACTCTTGTCGGCCATTTCTGGATGGGCCTGCTTATTCAAAATAAAAGATCTGTGCCCAGACCTCAGAGGATTGGACAAAGTTAACGCCCTTCTGAGGACACCTAGCGTTATCAGGATATAAAAACGATGTCTCCAGAGTCCGATCTCTTTTAATCACCGGCATCGGGCGGGCACACAGATGCCCTAGACCTACGAGTGCTCTGCTGACATGACGAGGATGCCTTCCGGTGCACACTACAGCCGCTCAGGGAGGACCGGTTTGCACCGGGGCCACCTGCTCCCGGGGAACCTGCCCTGAGGACGCAGCAGGAGGCGGGAGGACTCTCGGGGGGGCTGCCTGCACACACGCACGCACGCACGCACGCACGCAGCCTGGCTCCTTCCTTTTCCCTACGGCGTGGGCAGGGCCCTCAGGTCCAGCTCTGGGGCCGGGCACAGTCACTCCTCGGACTTGTACTCCCGACTCTGGTGCATCTTGGAGAGCACGCGCTCGTAGAACAGCAGGTAGGCGCTGGAGGACAGGACCTCCTGCAGGCTGGCCTTGCGGACAGTGTCGTCGGAGACCCACAGCCACTGGTTGCTGGTGGAGAGGGGGTTCTTGGCCGAAGGGGGGGACCGCCGGTAAGTCACGAAGTGTCCCGAGTGCATGTCTCCGTGGTGGACGACGACTGCCATCAGCCGGAAGAGGTACGTGGAGGAGCTGGCCGGTGGGAACAAATGCCAGCGGTTTACAAAAGCAAAAAGTAGAACAATCCTAGATAGTCAACGAGAGGGGGCTGGTACAACGGGACATCCGTACAAGGGAATGCTACACAGCCGTTAAAATACAGGCCTATGCCGAAGCCGGTTTGGCTCAGTGGATAGGTCCCAGGTTTGATTCCGGTCAAGGGCATGTACCTTGGTTTCGGGCACATCCCCAGTTGGGGGTGTGCAGGAGGCAGCTGATCGATGTTTCTCTCTCATTAATGTTTCTGACTCTCTATCCCTCTCTCTTCCTTTCTGTAAAAAAAAAATCAATAAAATATATTTTTAAAAATACAGGCCTATATTTACTGGCACGATGTCCATTCAATGAGTGTATATATAAGTGCCCGCGCACACATTACAGAGTGGAAGACAATAAAGACTTAACTGGTGATCTAGGTAGTGGCCCAAGATATTAAAAATTTTCTGCCTTATGCTTTTTCTACATATACACTCACACATGCATGCACACATACACATAACACATATTTAAATTTTATAATTCTTATATTTATAGTGACTTCCATTTCGGACAAAAATAAACAGGAATGCATAATAGTGAAGTTCCACCTTAAAATGAAGGACAGCCACCTCACACTATCATTCATTCACTTCGTGAGGAGCTAATTTTGGAAAATCCCAGAAAACCAGCAGCCCCCGCGGAAGGAAGGAAGGCTGCCAATGAAGAGCCGCTCACCTGTAGTCCGGAACCACCGGGAGGGGGAAGGGCATTGGGGCTGGCAGGGTGGGCAACAAAGACGGGGAGCAGGCACCATTCATAAAAATTTGGGTTTTGGGGCCTCCTGGCTGATTCAGACCTGCAAGAGAAAAAGGCCCGAGGCAGTTAACATTAGCAACGGGTGTGGGTAAGCAAAACATGTTTTTTTTTTTTTTTTTTTTTTTTTAATAAGTTTTTATTGTTCATATTATTACAAATGTTCCTCCCCCCCCCCACCATTGCTCTCCTCCACCAGGTTCCCACCCCACCCTCTGCCCTTTCCCCACTCCCCATTGTCCTCATCCATAGGTGCACAGTTTATGTTCAGTCTCTTCCCACATCCCCCTCTCCCCTTTTCCCCAAGAATCGTCAGTTCACTCCCCTTCCATACCTCTGATTCTATTATATTCAACAGTTACTATTGTTCATCAGATTTTTTTTTTTAATTTCCTTGGTTTTTAGATTCACTTGTTGATAGTTACATATTTGTTGTTCATAATTTTTATCTTTGTTTACTTTCTCTTCTGAAAGAACTCCCTTCAGCAACTCATATAAGTCTGGTTTGGTGTTGATGAACTCCTTTAGCTTTTTTTTATTAGTGAAGCTCTTTATCTGACCTTCGATTCTGAGTGATAGCTTTGCTGGATAGATTATCTTTGGCTGTAGGTTCTTACTATTCATCACCTTGAATATTTCTTGCCATTCCCGTCTGGCCTGCATGGTTTCTGTTGAGAAGTCAGCTGACAATCGTATAGGTGATCCTTTATAGGTAACTACCTTCTTTGCTCTTGCTTCTTTTAATATTCTCTCTTTGTCTTTTGCTCTTGGAATTTTAATTATGATTTGTCTTGGTGTGGTCCTCTTTGGATTCCTTTTGTTTGGAGTTCTGTGCGCTTCCTGGACTTGTAAGTCTAATTCTTTCTCCAGGTGGGGGAAGTTTTCTGTCACTATTTCTTTCAGTATGTTTTCGATATCTTGCTCTCTCTCATCTTCTGGGACCCCCATAATTCTGATGTTGGTTCGCTTGAAGTTGTCCCAGAGGTTTCTTACATTATCTTCAATTTTCTGGATTCTCTTGCCTTCTAGCTTCTGTGGAGGAGTGTCTTCTGGCTCTTTATGTTCCAAATCTTTGACTTGATTCTTGCGATCTTCCCTTCTGTTTTTAGGACTCTGTAAAATATTTTTTATTTCAGACAATGTATTCTTTATTTCTTGTTGTTCCCTTATCATTTCTTGTTGACTCCTTATTAATTCTAGTTGATTTCTTTTCATGTCCTCATAGGTCTTATCCATCTTTTCTAGGAAATTCTTGAAAAACCTTATAAGCGTAGATTTGAACTCTATATCCAGTAGCTTTTTGTCCTCCATTTCTTTCGTTTGTGATCTATTTGGTTTAGGCATTTTCGCAGGCAGCTTTCCTGATGGGGCGGGGTGTCAGGGTGGAGCCACAGCTTTGGCTTCCGTCAGCCCCGCCCTATGCGACTCCTGAGACTCAGGGTCCTTCAGTGCTCGCTGCCGGCGCCTCTGGGAGAAAGGCGCCCTCGATTTTCGCCTGCTGCCAAACAGTCAATGCTCTCCCCCAATGAGCCCGGTATTGGGGTTCAGTTCAGTTGGAAGTGGAGTTGGAGGTGGTGTTCAGAGCAGTCTGGAGCCCCTGTCTCCTTCCCGCCAGGCAATCCCGTGGCACAGCCGGCCGTCCCTTCTCTGCGCGCACTGGGCGCCACCGCCGGGACCTCCTTTCGCAGCTTCCCCGGGTTCCGCCTTATAGCCCGGCTCCCTCTGGCTGAGCCTGAGTCCCCGGGGTCTGGCCTAGGCCTGGGGTTCAGAGCAGTCGGGGGCCCAGCACAGTCGGAGTTTTATCTCCTTCCCGCTAGGGAACGCCCGCCAGGCACTCCGCCTCCCTCCTCTCCGGCTCCGTCCTCTCGGCGCGCCGCGTGTCTCCGTACCTTCGGCTTTTCCAGCTCCTCCGCACTTCCTTCTGGTTTTCTCCTTGCTTCTCGTTGTAGAATTTCCAGTCAGTCAACTTTCCTGTAGTTCTGGGTGATGTCCATTTTATATTTTAGTTGTATTTTATTGAAATTGTTGTGTGAGGCTGCAGCTAGGTATTCACCTGGGCGCAGCCATCTTGGAGGACCAAAACATGGTTTTTTATTATGCTGAAATGCAACTACCCAACGAAGAAAATACAAATATTTCTTTTTGTTACAGTCAAGCTTCCTGCCCTTTTGTCCCTGTTTTAACACCAACAGGAAAAGCATTTAGAAAAAAGAAAAGCCTGCATGGCTCAATGGTTGGGTGTGGACCTATGAACCAGAAGGTCACGGTTAATTCCCAGTCAGGGCACTTGCCCAGATTGTGGGCTCAATCAGCAGTGTGGGGCCTGTAGGAGGCACCCAATCAATGATTCCCTCTCATCATTGATGTTTCCATTGCTCTCTCCCTCTCCCTTCCTCTCTGAAATCAATAAAGATTTATTTAAAATAAAAAAAAAGAAGAAATTCACTGGAATGATATGTGAACCAATTATTGCTTAGTCAAAAGACCAGACAGAAATCTTAAGCTTTTCTTCCTCTATTTTTTTCAGCTGTGATAGTTTTTATTTATTCATTCATGTATTTAATTTTTAAATACACGGCGTGCAGGAGGCAGCTGATCAATGATTCTTTCTCATCTCTGATGTTCCTATCTCTCTCTTCCTCTCTGAAATCAATTAAAAACAACAACAAAAACTATACCTCTCATTACTATATAATTTTAACTTTTTTCTTTTAAGAAATCTTATCCCTCCAGCTCCAAACCTGCTGTTTTCAAGAATTTCAGCCATCACTGGCCAAGCCTTCAAGGCAGAAAGCCCCAGAAGCTAGTGATGCCAAACACCTTTTCTCTGTGCTGCCTTAGCTCCTTGGCCACACACCTGCTTTGGGGGCGGCCGGCCCGTCCTGCAGTTCCAGCGCAGGGCCCGCCTTCTCCTTGGGTTTGGGACTGTGCTGGCCGGGTTTATGTCCGAGGAGGCGGTACTTGTAGATGTCCATCATCAGGAACTCGTTGAACTGCACGTGCTCGTGCCGCTTCAGGGGCGTGCCGTGGCTGGACCAGCTCAGCCGCTGCAGGTGAATGCACAGACACTGAGGGAGCTGCGGGCGGGAGAGACCGGAAGAGATGAGTGTTGGGAGCGGCCCCCGAGAGGCCTCGAAAGCAGAGCCAACAAGGTGTGCGGCGTGGGCTCACCTTCCCCAGTTTTAACTGCTTAACGAAAGTGGTCCTCTGGTGCTCCACCTTCTCCCCGTTCAACGTCCCTTTGGCTTCAATCTGGAATAGAAGAAACGGCGCCCATCGGCTGAAATTTTTTTTTTTTTTCCCCTTTGGATTTCATCAAGTTTCCATTTCTTAATATATTTTATTGACTTTTTACAGAGAGGAAGGGAGAGGGATAGAGAGTTAACATCGATCAGCTGCCTCTTGCACACACCCTACTGGGGATGTACCCGCAACCAAGGTATAATACATGCCCTTGACCGGAATCGAACCTGGGACCCTTCAGTCTGCAGGCCGGTGCTCTATCCACTGAACCAAACTGGTTTGGCCGGCTGAAATTCTTGAAAGGACATCTCTGGAGAGCTGCCCATCAGGTTGGGTTCATACTTGCATTCAGCTGGCACTTGACTACTACCTGCTGAAATGAACTCAGCTGCCCAATTACTTGTGGGCTGTCAGTGTTTTATTTCTTAAGTACCAGCGACCGTGGAGGCAGGAGAAATAAAGAAGCTCTGACACTGGCATTTAATCTATTCTGTTGTGTCTTTAAAAACTCTGTTCCAGCCGAAACCGGTTTGGCTCAATGGATAGAGCGTCGGCCTGCGGACTGAAGGGTCCCAGGTTCAATTCCGATAGGGGGCATGTATCTTGGTCACGGGCACATCCCCATTGGGGGTTGTGCAGGAGGCAGCTGATTGATGTTTCTCTTTCATTGATGTTTCTAACTCTCCCTCTCCCTTCCTCTCTGTAAAAATCAATAATATATATATATATATTTTTTTTAAAAGTTCTGTTCCACATAGTCCCTCTTAATTCAGTTGCTTAGGAAGTTAGGCAGGTGGTGCAGGTAAGGCGGGTGTGAGACAAGTAGGAATGGAGGGGACTCTAGCGAATCGGAGAGGGCATGTCCAATCTCAAAGCGTGGTATCTAACTTCTTTCAATATTTAGTGGATAAAACCAAACTCATCAGGGAGAGAGACGTGCTCCATGAGCTGCCAGGAGCCCAACCTGAGGTGGGAATGGCAGTGGCGGGAAGGATCCCAGGGGGATACTCAGAAGAGCTCCAGGCCAATGGTGTGAGGCATTATTATCGGGGTACACAGACCACGGGGGAGAAGGCCTACCTTTGTGCAGTTGTCACATACAACATCCCGCACTGATTCTGACGAGATGAAGTGGTGAAGGCAGTGGTCCAGGGTCAGGGGATGACCCTATGGCACAAGTAGAAAAATTTGTCACAATTGAAAGGGGAGCTACTGACATGGCGAACGGGTGGCATCACGAGTCCCAGAGCTTTCTTTGTGCTCATGGCGGCAAAAAAAGCATCAGACCCAGCCGGCTGCCTTCTGAACAAACGCGGAGCTCACGGCACCCTAGACTGGCTACTGCGAGGGAGTCCAGGGTATGAGGACATAATGCTGCAGACGATGATGGACTCCCAACTGCTTTAGATATTTTTGAACTTAAGATTAATGTGTGTGTATTTTTAAAATAAAAGTCAAAATTTCTCCCCCCAAATCGGGCCATGGTGCTACGCGTTAAAACTAAGATGGGTTCAACCAATCACAAGTCTGAGGAACCCATGGCCCCTGAGCTACACAAAATGCCCCAAAGCCCTTTCAGACTCAAATGTCCCCAAAGGATCCACAGGTCAGTACATACCCAGGTGCCAGCTGGAATACTTAGTGAAAGGCTATCAAAGGTATCGAATCGAACAGGACTCTGAAACAAAGATTGCAGAAAACCCAGAAAGGACTGGAGTTCAGTTCAAAACTTTATAGATGGAAAACTACATGCTTATTGAAGTTTAATATTTAGAAGTTCAACACCAACATAATGAAACATAATGTACTTACCTAGAGGCAAATTCTACTGAAAACAACCTTGTAAACATGAAATACAATAACACCAAACAGCTTGGGAACACTAAGATGACATGGCTGACCAGAAATTTTTGGGTTCTATCCTAAGGAAGTAACCATGGACATAACTACAAAGATGCTCGTCACAGCCATTATTGATAACAGCAAAATGTGATCATCGAAATTTCTACAGAATGATTAAATAAATTCGATCATGTCCAGGGAGTGGAGTGGAATACTACATTAAAAGTAGAGTAGTATAAGAATGTGTGATTATGTGGAAAGATCTGTGTTTTATTATTAATTGAAAAAAAAAAAATGCTAAAATAGGGTAAGAGTTCCTGCATTTGGTGATGGCAGACTAGCTTGATTAGACAAACTCTCCCTGCGATAGCAATTGTAGAATCTGGACCCAAACAAAACAAAACTATATGAATGACTGGAGAGCTAGCGAAAGCAGGCAGAAATTGAAGTCATGTCTTGGAAAAATAGGAGCTCCGAGGGTGAGATTTGCATTGTGTGGCTTTTTGTTTGAAGGTCTCCCTAAGACAATGTACAAATTTGGTGAAAAACAAAGACACAGATTCAAGAAATACAGCAAACTCTAAACAAATACAAAGAAAATGGTGTTTATGCACTGAATGGGCAAACTACTGAAACCCCCAAAATGAAGAGGAAATCTTGTAAGCAGCCAGAGAAAAAGCGACACTTTCTATACAAAGGGATGAAATGACTGATGCTGACTCTGCATTAGAAAAAATGCACAACAGAAGACAACAATGCCAATAAAGGGATGAATTTAAAATAAACCAAATGAAACAGAAACAATAGCAACCCCAAATTCTATACCCAGCAAAACTATTTTAAAAAAAAAAAGGCAAAATGAAAAACATTTTCATACAAATTAAATCTAAATTAAATTGTTGCCAAAAGATCTGCAAGAAATGTTGAAGGAATCTTTTTAGGCTGAATGGAAAAACCATCAAATGTTATTGGATCTACAGAAAGGGCTGAAGAAAACTGAAAACAGCAAATGTAAAACTGTTTGTTTTTTTTTCTTTTAAATATATTTAACTATCTAAAGCAAGAAGTATGACAGTATTATGGGATCTGTGATGTATGTAGATGAAAACATATATGACAAAAATAACAAACAAAGGATGAGGAGCTAGAACTATATTTTTATAAATTTCCTGTATTTTATATGCAATATAATATTAACTCTAAATGGTTAAAATTGCATTATTTCATCATAACCTTCCCCCCTTCAAAAAAATTTTTTTTAAAGTACATCTAAAAGCCAACAGAGAAATTACAACAAAATACTAAAAAGTATTCTAAGGAATTTACAACAAAATTTCTGGAATCAATAAGTGAGTTTTCACAAGAACACAAGATAGAGGGTCAATATACAATTATATTTCCATATATTAGAAAAAGATTTTAAAATCCCACTTACAATAGTATCAAAATACAAATAAAATGCAATGAAAAGTAAAATAGATAAATTGGAAAGTTATAGATTAAAAAATATTTAAGACATATGAATTTTAAATTATGGACCTTTTTTTAATCCTCACCCATTACTGATTTTAAAGAGAGAGGAAGACAGAGGGGAGGGGAGAGAGAAAGAGAAATGGGGGGTAACTGCTATAATAGATCCAGGTTTTTTGGGGGGTGGATGATAATGAAAATATCCTAAAATTGTTTGAGGTGATAGTTGTACAATTCTCTATTTCTGTATTTACTTGGAAAATTTCCAAGTAAAAAAATATTTTAAAACTTCAAAAGCAAAAAACAAAACAACAGTCCTAGAATCTGCTGTGTCCACCCTCAGTATAAACCCAAACTGAATTCTTGTAACCCACAGGGGGTCTGTGCCTCTTGGCGCAGAAGATGCCGCCTGAAGATCAGTGAACATGTTAGTACTGACTGCAGAGGGGCAGTCTGTCCACTAAGGGCCCAGGCAATCACAAACGGCATATACCAAGGTTAGTCCACAGTCTCCTGACCTTTCACGAATCTTAACTTAAAAGAAAACATCGCGAGAAAATATAAAGCACTGGCGTCGTATTTACCTGGTGTTCACAGTGTTTGCAGACCATGTTACTAGTAAGTCTCCCATGAAAAGGATGCTGAGATTTCCAATGATTGGATGTGGGATGAGGTGCCCCTGCAACACAAAACATCTTTGGATCTGCCACCTCATTTTTATTTATTTATCTTTATTGATTATTTTTAAAAATATGTTTAATTGATTTCAGAGAGGAAGTGGGGAGGAGAGATAGAAACATCAATGATGAGAATTACTGATCAACTGCCTCCTGCACACCCCCTACTGGGAATCAAGCCCAAAACCCAGACATGTGCCCTGACCAGGAATCAAACTGGGACAGCCTTGCCCCACCAGCATGGCTCAGTGGTCGAGCCTCGACCTATGAACCAGAGGTCAAAGGTTCGATCCTGATCCTGGTCAGAGAACATGCCCAGGTTGCGGGCTTGATCCCCAGTGTGGGACTTGCAGGAGGCAGCCGATCAATGATTCTCTGTCATCATTAATTTTTCTATCCCTCTCTCCCTCTCCCTTCCTTTCTGAAATCAATTAAAAAATATTCTAAACAAACAAACAAAAAACCGTGACCTCTTGGTTCATAGGTAGATGCTTAACCACCCAGCCACGCTGGCCGGGTTACCCTCCTTTTTAGCATGTGGTAGCCATGTTCTTTAGAAAAAAATACCCCTGGAAATTAAATTAAAAATAGTTTTTCTTATTGATGTACATAAAAAAGACAAGCCATTCCCTTCACAGGAGAACTTCTACATGTCCTTAATTGTGGTTTCTGTAAAATGGGTACAGCCACATTTTAGAAAGGAATTTGTGACATTAGTGACATCTTTTCATAAACATATGCTTACAATGGAAGGTACCATAAATGAACATTCCATAAAGTAAGATGAATTTCTGAAATACCATCAGAAGCAATTTCTGAAAGACACTTTTTACAAACGGAAGGGGGCTAGTGGAATAAACACAGTGTGGTGTGCTTGTTACACACACCAGGCCCTAGAGTCTGGCTGCCCTGGGCTCATTAGCTACGTCATATCATCTCTACAAGCCTCTGTTTGCTGGCAATGGGGATAATTATTGTCCCATTATCACCAATACCATCTACTTTATAGAGAGGCTGTGAGGCTTAAATGGGACAGTACACTGCCTGGCACACAGTACGGGCTCCAAAGATAATCGTGTGGGTTTAAAAAAAAGAAAAAATATATATATATTTCTGTTGATTTCAGAGAGGAAGGGAGAGGGATATAGAAACGTCAATGATGAGAGAGAATCACTGATCGGCTGCCTCCACATGCCCCCCACTGGGGATCAAGCCCGTAACCCAGGGATGATCCCAAAGGTAATCTAATGCACAAAATAATTGATGCCTTTATTTTTTTATATATAAGTTTAAGTCTTAAGAAAACAACGATTTCCTTCTAAGGAGGACTGTGATCATCTGTAGTAAGCCGGCCAAGGTAGAAATGCTGAGAACATGGTTTCAGCTTACTAAGTTCCTCACAGGATCACTTCAGGAAGGTAAAAAGAGCCTGGCTCGGTGGCTGAGCGTCATCCTGCGAACCAGCAGGTCACGGTTTGATTCCCAGTTGGGGTACAAGCCAGGACTGCAGGCTCAATCCTCAGTAGGGGGCGTGCAGGAGGCAGCTGATCAATGATTCTCTCTCATCACTGATGTTTCTATCCTTCCCTCTCCCTTTCTCTTTGAAGTCAATAAAAAAAAATACATATATTTTTTTAAAAGGTGAAAATAAAACCCTCTCTTGTAGTTGAAATAAGTCCGTTTGGAGGAAACTGAGCAGGCTAAGATGGGAAGGAATAATTCAAGATGTTCGCAGAGGGAACCATTTACAGCTGTTTCCAAAACACAAATTCCTTTGGGAGTACATGCAGTTCAAGCTGGATTGGATGTCACCAGAAAAAAAAAGTAAATGAGCAAATGGTTGTCATATCCGGAAAGAACCCATCTTATGTGTTGCAGTTCAATGGACAATGACTACCTCTTGTGCGGCAGGTTATCTGTGTGGGAGTGACTTCCGGCTGCTGCTGTAAGGGAAAGAGAAACAGACTGGAGACCCTCCTGCAACCCTTTTCTCCCCCTCAGCCCACTGCCACCCTCACCAGCTTCTGTGCTGACTGCACCACGAACCCAGCTTTTCACAAACGTTTCTAGAAGCAGCCTGCAGCCTGATCACGCTCTCTGATTGGCCACTGTGCCTATTCCTTCATCAGATGCAATCAGAACGCATTCCCTCTCGGGAATATAAGACTCCCTTAGCATTCCCAGGGCTCTGTGTCCCCCTGTATAAAAAAGGGGGGACGTGGATTTTTTCCCTTTTCCAAGCCAACACAAACTGCAGCCATGAATTATTTTGAAGTCTTCCTGGTCACTGCCTGCAAAGACCCTATCCAGGCCCCACCCCCACTGCCAATGGTTCCTGAATCTGACTGTGAGCTTAAACTTGTACGAAGATTATACCCGTGGTCCCTTCACGTGTGACACATGCATGAACCACATTCAGTGCATCAGAAACCTTCATGGCTTACCTCCAGGGAATGCACATCGAACAAATGCGTGACCCGGGGCTGGCGGTCCCGCTCATCTTCCAACGACGAGGTGATGACGTGGAATAGCTCGTGAGCATCCTGCCAAAGGGCAAAGCGTTCTTCAGAGGCCCGAGGAGGCTGGGGCAGCATCAGAACCACCCCCGTGTGGCCTGCCGGGCAGCCCCCTCCGGCTAACGTGGGCAGGGTTTGCTGTCCACCTTCTCAGAGCCCGGCTCCTTCATCAGAAACAGTTCCACCCTGGCCATTTTCTTTTTTTTTTTTTTTTTAATATATATATATTTTATTGATTTTTTACAGAGAGGAAGGGAGAGGGATAGAGAGCTAGAAACGTCGATGAGAGAGAAACATCGACCAGCTGCCTCTTGTACACTCCCTACTGGGGATGTGCCTGCAACCAAGGTACATGCCTTTGACCGAAATCGAACCTGGGACCCTTCAGTCTGCAGACCAACGCTCTATCCACTGAGCCAAACCGGTTTCAGCCACCCTGGCCATTTTCTCAATGAAGACCCTCCCCAGACAGAGAGCTCACTAGTGGGAAGGAGGCTCTAAATATAATATAAACCTGTCTTGAATGTTGTGTTCACCTGCTCTTCGAAGGAAGAGATCTGCCATCGGTACATCCTTAAGACGTCCAGCAGGCAGCTTGCATCCAAGACCTCGTCCTCTGTCACTTCTTGGCAGGAGAGAGCTGGAAACAGAGATGGTAACGTAATCATTACATTCATCAGCGTAACAGCTGGCCAGAAAACCTGCACCGCACAACACACCAAAGCTAATGAAGAATTTGAGAATGGTAAATTCACCTTGCAGTCATATCTCTTCCTTCATTCTTCCTTGTTAGCTTAGTACACTATGAGGCGCTGGGTGTTTGTTGAGTGAATGTGACTTTTCATAAGGCTGCAGCATTTAAATAAAGCAAGTGCTTTTTAGTGACTTACTTGAATTATCATCAACATAAATGTATTGTTGCAGATTCTTACTGAATAAAATGATTTTAATTCAGGGGACCCCTAACCACTCATCTCGTCCAACCCCACATTCAATGCTTAATTCCTCTCCCATGGCCTTGTATTTGTCTGCATGTGAGTTTCTCATCATCACTGCAAAGAAATCAAGCTACATGCAGCAGCCTGCTGAGTTGTTTACTTTTTAATCCTAAATAGAATCAAACCTAATAAAAATAAAAGTATATTGGGCTTGCAGGCCAATAAGGGAGTGGCACGAAATATTCAGAGTGATGAAAAGCAAAGACCTACGTTGAAGATTACTCTATCCAGCAAGGCTATCATTTAGCATACAAGGAGGAAGAGTTTCCCAGATAATAAAAAACAAAAAGAGTTTCCCAGACAAAAAACAAAAAAACAAAAAGAAAAAACAAAAAAAATCAAACTAGTATTACAAGAAATGTTTTTTTAAAAATATATTTTTTATTGATTTTTTACAGAGAAGAGGAGAGAGGGATAGAGAGTTAGAAACATCGATGAGAGAGTCATCGATCAGCTGCCTCTTGCACACCCGCTACTGGGGATGTGCCTGAAACCAAGGTACATGCCCTTGATCGGAATCGAACCCGGGACCTTTCAGTCCGCAGGCCGACACTCTGTCCACTGAGCCACATTAGTCTACATTTCTAACTGTTTCCTTAAGGCAGGCTTCCAGACAAGGCACTGCTAAGTCTAATTGTGGAACATTCAGCAAGACATCCAAACCGCTTCCTGAAAGGTTTACAGTGTGCAGGAACATGTCATCCCACAGATGGTCATGACAGTGGATTTGTTTTTCAATCCTTGCTGACAGGCAAAACAAAAACAAAAAAATGACACCAACAACCCAGGGTACTTCGCTGTTATTTCATGTCAGTTAAGATGCATATTTGAGTGTCAGATACACTCTTTATCTATCGAAATACAATGTGTGTTATTTTCCTTCCTTCCTAGGCTAACATACTTAAAAAAACAACACTTTATTGTTTTTGAAACCAAGGTATTCGATAATCAAAATGGTTATGTAACAAAGGGTTTTCATCTTCCCTAGAAATCTGTTACTAAACTGATCATTTTTAGAACAGGTGGTGATATATTTGATTTGATTTTTAAAGGAGCTGTTTGTATCTATTGGGCTCTTCGTGGTTTTTCCCATCATGACTGGTATGATCTTTCCCTACTAACCCTCTGTCTATCAACCGAGCTGCTGCTTTGAAAATGCACAGTCTGCCAAAACCAGTTTGCTCAGTGGATACAGCTTCCGGCCTGCAGACTGAAAGATCCCAGGTTCGATTCCTGTCAAGGCATGTACCTTGGTTGCGGGCACATCCCCGGTAGGGGGTGTGCAAGAGGCAGCTGATCGATGTTTCTCTCTCATCGATGTTTCCAACTCTCTATCCCTCTCCCTTCCTCTCTGTAAAAAAATCAATAAAATATATTAAAAAAAGAAAATGCACACAGTCCCCCCTCCGTTCCCAGCTAGATACCTTTCAGGAGGTGCAGCAGTGTCAGGGATAAATACTGGTGTGGGAGGGGCTCCTTCTGATCCCCGGTGTACTGCGTGGTGAACTCTTCCAGCCACCTGATGAAGGCGGGGCAGGCGGACAAACCCTGCAGCAGGGAGTTCATGAAGCAGGTGTTCCCCAAGTTGACGAGGCCAGGCACGAGCCCTGGAAGTGGGGGGAGGGGGAGGAGAACAGCACATCACCCTTTTTTTTTTTTTTAAATATATTTTATTGATTTTTTACAGAGAAGAAGGGAGAGAGATAGAGAGCTAGAAACGTTGATGAGAGAGAAACATCGACCAGCTGCCTCCTGCACACCCCCTACCGGGGATGTGCCCGCAACCAAGGTACATGCCCTTGACCGGAATCGAACCCGGGACCCTTCAATCCGCAGACCGACGCTCTACCACTGAGCCAAACCGGTTTCGGCAGCACATCACCTTGGACCCGCTCTCTTACTCTCTCCCACGCGTAACCCAGAGTTTCTGCACCTCGGCCTCGGATTTGAAATCTGAACGCGAGGACGTTCTCAGCCACAGAGATCCGGAGCCAGGCATTCTGTCCACGCAGAGCCCTGTCCTAGCCCTGCTCCCTCAGGGGACTGCAGCGACAGACGGACAGGTCCCTGTTCATCCGTGTTACTTTTGAAACCCACCGCAGCGTCCGGTACAGTTTGGTTAACACTGAATGTACAAAACCCCATAGTAACATCTCCTTTCCCCTCCCTCCTTCTCTCTCTCTCCTTTGATAAAAAAGCAATGTTTTCTCAGCACAGAGGAAAACAATTGTTCTGTTGTTGCTCCTGGGACAATGATTGTGTTCTTGTAATCAGTGGGAAAGACACGACAGCAATTCCGGTCAGTCTTTCTGCAAAGAGACCGACAAAACCTGGCACACTTCTCTCTGCTGCTGACATTAAAAAAAAAAACAACACCTTTTTTTTATGAAAGTTCTCAAACATGCACAAAGGAAGAAAGGGTATATAATGAATCCGAGTAACCATCCTCAGATTTAACCAAGATCAGCATTTTGCTACATCTATTCACCCCCCTTAAAGCTGACTTTTAACCGACAGAAGGAGAGCAGCATTTACAAAAGGGCACATTTTTACAAAGAAGGAGATAGACGTTTGTGTGAATGAAGAAACTTGAAACATTTACTAGTGACTACCAGCTAGTCAGTGAAGCCCCACATGCGTCACATAATTAGTCAGTTCTGCTACTAAAACACATAATTGCCATATTAATGAGGACAGTAGGCAATGCAGCCACTTTTACTGCAGGGCATAAAATCTGGAGCACGTAAATACTATTTTGATCTCAGCTACTGATGATACTAGGGACTCTCTCTGACAACTACCAACATTATCCTACTGTCATCACTGGTATGATGCAAAACAAAACAAAACAAAACAAAACACACACACACACACAAAAAACCCCAAACAAACAAACTTCTGTTTAAAAGAAAGTACTAGCTGAAACCAGTTTGGCTCAGTGGATAGAGCGTCAGCCTGCAGACTGAAAGGTCCTGGGTTCGATTCCGGTCAAGGGCATGTATCTTGGTTGCAGGGGTGTGCAAGAGGCAGCTAATCAATAATTCTCTCTCGTCCATGTTTCTGACTCTCTATCCCTCTCTCTTCCTCTCTGTAAAAAAATCAATAAAGTATATTTTAAAAAAGAAGAAGAAGAAGAAGAACAAGTACTGTTCAAAAACTGAAGATACAAGAGAACCAAAAATGGTCTCCCTTTTTGTACTGTTTGGGGTCATAAGGGTTTGGGTCAAGTCTATAGACCATGCTGCCAGGTCTAAGTCTTACCTTTCCTGCGCTTCTTTCTTTCTGTGATGGGACCCCAAATCACATATATTCCTGCTGCAAGAGCAGCGGCCAGTCCACCTATGACACCCCAGTTCTTCATGACTTTATACCTGAGAAAGAAAGCCGGTTTACTGTCTGCCCTCATCACAAACACATTCTGGGTGTATACAGACATGTGAAGAAATGACATTCCCTCAACATAATCTACTGGCTCCTGGCCCGTGCGGCTCAGTGGTTGAGCATCCACCTATGAACCAGGAGGTCATGGGTGGATTCTCAGTCTGGGCTGCACGATCCATCTCCAGTAGGGGGCGTGCAAGAGGCAGCCGATCTATGATTCTTTCTCATCATTGATGCTTCTATCTCTTTCTCTCTCTCCCCGCTCCCTTTCTCTCTGAAATCAATATTAAAATAATAAATAATAATAATAATAATAATAATAATAATAAAACAACCACCCACTGGCCCACCAAATACCTAACTTTCAAACTAAAGTAACACATAGTGCCAAAACCAGTTTAGCCCAGTGGATAGAGCATCGCCTGCCCACTCAAGGGTCCCAGGTTCGATTCCGGTCAAGGGCATGTACCTTGGTTGCGGGCACATCGCCAGTAGGGGGTGTGCAAGAGGCAGCTGATTGATGTCTCTCTGTCATCAATGTTTCTAACTCTCTATCCCTCTCTCCTTCCTCTCTGTAAAAAATCAATAAAATATATTTTAAAAAAATAAATAAAGTAACATATAGCATAGGATTATGTCTTGAAAATCAGCAGATTTAGACATTAGGATTTAAAACCAGAATCAGACCACAAAAGCCCCATCTCACTGAGAGGAGAAGCCAGGTTTTTCCTCCTCTGCCCTCACTCCCTGCACACTGCCCATCACCCCCCCCAGGGCCTTTGCACTGCTGCCCCCTCTCCCTAAGCTCCTCCCCAGACCCCTGCGTGGCTCACTCTTTCACTTCCCCTCCACGTCTGACTATCAGAAGCTGCTCTCCTGGCTCCTTTCACCCAGGCTGACTTTTGCTTGTCACCTTCTAACATAACATTCACTTCTTCACTATGTTTACTGCCCGTCTCTCTGAGATGGAATCTACATCCCTGAGGGCAGGGACCTTTGTCTATTTAGTCACTGACAGATCCCGAGTGCCTAGATCAGTATTCGGCAAACCTTGGCTCTCGGGCCACAGGCAGCTCTTTGGCCCCTTGAGTGTGGCTTTTCCACAAAATACCACGGCCTGGGAAAGTCTATTTTGAAGAAGTAGCGTTAGAAGTCAAGGGTACATGTGCAGGTTGCGGGCTCGATTCCCAGTTGGGGACTTGCAGGAGGCAGCCAATCCATGATTCTCTCTCATCATGGATGTTTCTATTGTTCACCTCCTCTTCCTTCTTCTCTAAAATCAATAAAAATATTGATTGCTATATTTTTATTGATTTAAAAAATATTTTTAAAAAAGGAAAGTTATTTTTAAAGTTTCCTAAGGCACCGCTGTGCTGACTTTTACACAACAAGAGTATTCACAAAGGCCTGGGAAGATGAAAAAGGACCGGCATTGAAATGGTAAAGCGCTTACACATCGGCTGCCAAATCCCCTTTTCAAACACTAACATTTCTGAGTGCGTGCTCTATGTTGGGCACCGTGATCATCTTAGCTCACCCCCAAAACAACTCCACAAGCGGGGTTCCATTCCTGCCTCCTTTAAAAAAAAATATTTTATTGATTATATTTTTATTTATTTTAAAAAAAAATATTTTTTATTGATTTTTTTACAGAGAGGACGAGAGAGGGAGAGAGAGTTAGAAACATCGATGGGAGAGAATCATTGATTAGCTGCTTCCTGCACCCTCCCTACTGGAGATGTGCCCGCACCACGGTACATGCCCTTGACTGGAATCGGACCTTCGAACCTGGGACCCTTCAGTCTGCAGGCCGACGCTCTATCCATTGAGCCAAACCGGTTTCGGCAAAAAAAATATATTTTATTGATTTTAGATAGCTAGAAACATCGATGAGAGAGAATCATCGACTAGCTGCCCTACCGGGGATGTGCTTGCAACCAATGTACATGCCCTTGACCAGAATGAAACCTGGGACCTTTCAGTCTGCAGACCGATGCTTTACCAATGAGCCAAACCGGTTTCGGCTACCGCCTCCTTTTTCACAAATGAGGAAACGAAGAGATGTAGCCAACTTGGTCAAAGAGGGTGAGGCCGTGGGCTCTGAACTTCGGCCTGACAGGCTGCCAACCCCGTGCTTTACACCATCAAGCCACAAGGGACCCTGAAGGGGTGGGACAGAGAACTTGACCGTGTGCTTGGCAGGGAGGGCAGACAGGGCATGGACAAAGAAAACTGGAAACGCCATTTCTCTGCAAAATGACAGCATGAGGAGAGGATGGGCTTTGCGAGTGAAAAGCTCTGGCTTCTCCCCCCCAGGTCGGTTGCAGGGTCATGGCCAAGGCCCACCCAAGACATGTTTCCCATCTCAGAAGGGGGACACCGCGCGATGGCTCCCGGCCGGCTGTAAGCTCTAGACCTGCCAGTTCCAGAGGCAGGAGGCTGACCTGAACAACAGGTCTCGGTCATTCAGGGACAGGACTGAGGGAGCAGGGCTCAGCTCTGAAGCCCGGAGCCCGTGGAGGGTGGACAAGAGGAGGGAAATAGGGGGTCTGAAAAGGGGGGGAGCAATACTGGTGGTGGAGGTGGGAGACCTGGCAGGACCTTAGCAGAACTGGGAGCTTTAATAGGTAAAGGGGTCCTGGCTGGTGTAGGGACCCCCCCTTGCAAGATAATTAGTTACTAATAAGATGGGGGACCCTGACAGAAGAAGCGATCCGGGCATACCTGGGACAGGGACTGACAGGAATGGGGGGATGGGGCGGGGGTCGCACTGGCCTGCACCCCGCATTTTGCAGGATTGGAACCATGCAGGCTAGAGGAGAGCTTGACAAGGCTGGGGAACCCTGGCAGTCAGGGCCTGACATGGCTGGGAACCCATAAGGAAGGGGGGTGGGTGGGAAAGGGGGGAGATCCTGAAAGGATTAAGGGGACCTGGGAGGCCTGAGAGGACGAGGGGCATTGAGAGATCTGAAGCCGTGACAAGCCCGCGGGTTTCCAGAAGTTCTGGGGTGGGTGACAGGCCTGGAGGAGGCAGGGGCATGCCGGGGAGGGGCTCTGATGAAATCTGGGGGCGCCAGCGGAACTGGGGGTGCAGACAGCATTGGCGTCGCGAGGCCCCGGAGGCCCGTCGCCCCCCTCCCGCCTCGGGGCCTGGGGCGCCTACCCCGCAGGACGCAGAAGCTTCTAGAACGCTCGCTCCGGGCTCGGGGACCCCGACTGGGACGTGCAAAGGCCGCCAGAGGCCCGAGCGGGAGACTCTGGACCCGGCCGCCTAGCCCGCCCCACCAAGCTCACCTGACGGCCGCCCCGGTCCGCAGGAAGCGCTGGATGGCCCTGTCAGCCGCGCTCACCGCCTCCCGGGCCCGGGAGCTCAGCATCGCGGCCGCGCGGAAGGCCCGCCGCCGCCCGGTGCCCCCGCCGCCCCCGCCGCCCCCGCCGCCCCCGCCGCTGACGGACAGAAGTCTCCCAGGGCTCCTGTGGCGGCGGAACCCGCGGTGCAAGTCCCAGCTCCTCAGGGGAAGGGATACCGAAGGACCGGCTCCCGAGAGGACCGGAAACAGCCGCCCCCGGAGAGGAAAAGCCGACGGACCACATCCTGTTTTTATTTTTTTTCTCCCTCCTCCGGAGGCAACGGGCCCTGGCGTTGGTTATTAAAGGAGCCGTGCGGCCGGAGAACGCTTTATTTTCAGGTTTTGCCAGGGCTCCGTTCATAAACACCAGTGCGCCTGTTCCAGGAGGGAGGCTGTGTCATTTTCATCTTTTTTGGTGTGCAGAGGGCGGCCCCTCCCGGAAGCGGAGTCTGGCCTCGGGCAGCCTGTTATCATGGTGCTCAGAGCTGCTAAGGTCGCTGAGGAAGGGCCTTGTTGAATGATCCATGTGGCCCATCTCTGACGGCATCAATAGAGAAACCGAGGCTTTAATAATAGCCTCCAAACTTGCGTTTTGCTTAGGTGCATTGCTAAGCATGTCACATGCATTATTCACTCACATGCCGCCTTCACACCAACCTTAACAGGTTCTGCATTTTACATTCCGGGAAACCCAAGAGCTTGAGAGAAGTAATGTCTTTTGACACAACTTGTAATTGATGGAAACAAGATCGGCCGTTAAGCATAGCGGTTTTCAAATAGAAATATAATGCAGGTAGCTACATAAAGTAAAAAAAGAAAAAAAAATTAAGCGAAAAAAGAAAAAAAATATGAAATGAACAATTTTTTTTTACTTGACTCAATATGACCAAACTATTGCCAATTCTATGTAAAAATTGTTAGAGATATTTTACATTTTGTGTGTGTGAAGTACATTTCAATTTGGACCCAGCCACTTGATAGCCACACATGGCCAGTGGCTACCATATTGGACAGCACAACTTATAAAGCAGTTGAGCCAGAGAGAATTTGCTCTGGCTTATAAGGCATTCGAGCCAGAGAGAATAATTTTCCCCAACTGCAAATCTAACAACTGCAACTGTTTTAGTAAAGAAATCAATGCTTTAGGCTCAGTGATTCTCTTAAGTTTTTAATCTTATAAATTATCAGAGCTTTTGTTTATGTGGATTATATCTATATAGTATTAGAAATTAAAATGAAGAAATAACTATTGTGTGTGTGTTTTTTAAAGTGAAGTACACTGTATAGTAAAAGTCACCTAGTTTTCATGTATAGTTCCATGAATTTTGGGCAAATGCAGTCATGTAACTAACACCACCCCAAATTATCCCCTGTCCCATTGTAGTCAACTCCTCCACCCATCCCGAGTCCCTGGAAAACCACTTAACAAGACTGAGAAAAAAAAAAATTTAAGCCCAAGAATACCAAAGCATTCATTCCATTAGACATCAGAGCCATGACCTCATCAAATTTTGTGTAGCTTCTGGAAAATTCCAGGGTACAACCATGAGTGAATGGGAGTGGGAAAGGCAAATAATATCTGTTATCATGAAAATAGTTTTTACTTCAATAACCACCTGAAGGGTGTTCCAAGGAGAGGTTCTGCAAATATTCTTGCAGAACCTCTACTTTAAATGGTTTTGAAAAGTTGATTTTTAGAGAGAGAAGAAGGGGGAGGAATAGAGCTATGGAAACGATGAGAGAGAAATTCAATTGACCGGCTGCCTCCTGCATGCCCCCTACTAGGGATTAACTCAAAACCCAGACATGTACACTGACCAGGAGTCAAACTGGTTACCTCTTATTTCCTGGGTCGACGCTCAACCCCTGACTCATACCTCCAGGAGAGAACCTCTGCTTTAGCCTCTTGAGTGAATACCTTGCCATCCCATCCACAGATTTACTTAGAACTCAACATTGCAGACTAGTTTATTTTTTTATTATTATTTTAAATAATAATGTTTTTTATTCCAGGAAAAACAGCCCATGGATTGGGCACGTACAGTGCCTCCCAATACATCGCAGACTAGTTTCAATAACATAGAGTATCCACAGCTAATCAACTCACAAGTATTTCTGAGCACTTTGCATGCCTTATCTCAATTTAATTCTCGCAGCAGCCACATGAGTAATAACAGTACTTCACGCTCATGACGTGAATATCTCCTCCAGCCTGCCCTCACTGCTCCTCTAACCAGTAGGGATATGACTGTCCTTGACTAACAGATGTTCTTATTATTGAGAATATATTACTAATGATGGCAATAATACCACAGCTAGGAACCGGCAGGGCTTGCTTTAACATTTATCCTGTAGATCAAGGGTTTGCAGCACCGAGGGCGAGCACACAGACATGCTTTAGAGTCTTAGAGCTCTTGCAGCCGCTGGGATGATTCCGCAGGCAAATGGTTTATTCAGGACCCTCAGCTCCTGAGGGTTAAACACCAAAAGCAGCATTTTCCCAGCTGCCCCCCATGTGTACTAAACTGGACCTCTCCCTTTCACACCATGGAGTAGGGCCCTTGTAATGCAATTTTTATATCTATGTTTAGAGACTCCTCATCTCCTTTCCACAGGTATATTAGTGTTCTCTTTATTTTTTTTAATTTAAAACTCAAATCTGATTCAGAAGTCTTCTCCCTGACCCCAGGGGAGTGAGGGTCCTAAGGAGAGAGAAGGATAGCTCTGTATTCCTTCTCCACTCCCTCTTCTGGCTGCCCTGTGTGTCAGAAGGAAGAGCTCAGAAATCGTGATTGAGGTGTGACCCAAAGTCACAAGAAAGATCTAGAATCCAGTTCCCTTTTTAATATGTTTTAATATATTTTTATTGATTTCAAAGAGGAAGGGAGAGGGAAAGGGAGATAGAAACATCAATGATAAGAGATAAACATCGATAGGCTGCCTCCTGCACACCCCACACTGGGGATCGAGCCTACAACCCAGGCATGTGCCCTGACCGGGAATGCAACCGGTGACCCTCCTGGTCCATGGGTCGAGGCACAACCATTGAGCCACACTGGCTGGGAATCTTTTTAATATTAAAGAAAATTATCATTGTTCTATATTTTCTCCAGATAGGTAGAAATCCCAATAATAGGCATATGGAGAGCTCCCAGGTTAGCAAAGACATCCACATCAGGATGGTGACACCCCAACTCCTTGGGGGCAGAGGCTCCTGCACACTCAGGACCCTCCCCGATCTCACCCTATGTATCTCTTTACCTGGCTGTTCATCTGTGTCCTTTATCGTGTCCTTTAATTAACTGGCACATGTAATTAACTGGTAAATTACATTAAGTTAATTAAAGGATATGACAAAGGATACAGATGCTTCCCTCTAGTGTTTCCCTAAGTATTTCCCAGAGTTTTAGGGAAGTTTCCCTGAACAACTCTAGCAAATTAATCAAACGTGAGGAGAAAATCATGGGAACCTCCAATTTGTAGCCAAATCAGACAGAAATTGTGGGTGACCTGAGGACCTACGACTGGACATTGGCATCTGAGGTGGGGTGGGAGCTGTCTTGTGAAATTGAACCCTTGACCGATTGGATATAACATTATCTCCAGACAGATAGTATCAGAACTGACTTAAATTGTAGAATCTCAAGCCTGGCCAGTGTGGCTCAGTGGTTGAGTGTCAACCTATGACCAAGAGATCAAGGTTCGATTCCTGGTTAGGGCACATGCCTGGGTTATGGGCTTGATCCCCAGCAGGGGGCGTGCAGGAGGCAGCTGGTCGATGACTCATCATTGATGTTTCTATTTTACACTCTCTCCCTTCCTCTCTAAAATAAATAAAATATATTCACTGAGTGGCCAGATTATTATGATCTCTGAACACATAATAATCTGGCCATTCTATATATATAATGCTAATTGCTAATTGCATATAAAAGGCTAATATGCAAATTGTCCCCTTGACCAGGAGTTCGACCAGCAGGCAGGCCGGCCAACTGCCCATGTCTCCTCCCCCTGGCCATTCTAATATATATACTAAAGGTCCAGTGCATGAATTCGTGCATGGGTGGGGGCTGGCCAGCCTGGCCAGGGGGAGGAGACATGGGCAATTGGCCGGCCTGCCTGCTGGTCGAACTCCTGGTCAAGGGGACAATTTGCATATTAGCCTTTTATTATTTGGGATATACACTGAGTGGCCAGATTATTATGTGTTCAGAGATCATAATAATCTGGCCATTCAGTGTGTGTGTGTGTGTGTGTGTGTGTGTGTGTGTGTGTGTATTTAAATTGTAGGACAAAATAAAAAAAAAACACATATATTTAAATTGTAGGACACCCAGCTGGTGTCCCAGAGACTTGCTTGTGTGGGGGTAAAACTGCACCCAAGTCTGGTGTCAGCAGTGTTGGTGCAGGATGCTCCAACCAGCTGACCCACCGGGCCGGGATGCCTTGGCATTTTCAAACAAAGGCTTAACCTCCTAACCACGCCTCCCCTTTCTGCTGGCTCCCCGGTAAGTCAGGTGGTACTTACACTTCCCAGCACAATCCCAGGGACCTGGAAGGGACTCCGGATGGCAGGGACCCACCAGCACGGTTGGCAGAGCAGAGATCTACCACCAAAGTCTGAGTTTTCCCTTTTGGTCTTTTATCCAATGTCAGTTCTCAAAAAAAAAAAAAAAAAAAAGGATAAATCTCTTTTATATGTTTCAATCCATGGGCTTACCTTTAAAGTGAAGTGCCATTTTTTATAACTACTAGAATATTGTCTTGATATAAAATAGGGATTAAAATTCAGTTGACTGGAGAAACGCTTGTACATAGCACATGCCTTTTACATTCAGTATTTCAGACTAAGGGGCAACTTGTCAGGCTCTATTTCAGCCTCTATTTCAAAATTTTAAAATATTCATTCGAGGATATCTTTTTTAAAAATATATTTTTATTGATTTCAGAGAGAGCAAGGGAGAGGGAGTCATAGAAACATCAGTGATGAGAGAGAATCATTGATCGGCTGCCTCCTGCTCGCCCCCTACTGGGGATCAAGCCCACAACCCAGACATGTGCCCTTGACCAGAATAGAACCTGGGACCGTTCAGTCCGCAGGCTGATGCTCTATCCACTGAGCCAAACTGGTGAGGGCCGAGGATAGGTTTTTTATTGAAGGGAGGGAGGCAAGAGAGAGAGAGCTGGAGAGAAAGATAAAGAGAGTCACTTGTTGACTCCTGTAAATGCCCAACAGGGGATCAAACCACAACCGAGTTATGTGCCCTCACCAGGAATCGAACCCACAACATTTTTGGTGAACAGGATGATGCTCCAAACAACGGGACAACCTGGCTGGGGCGTCAGCCTCTATTTTAAGATGTTCACTTTATAAAAAAAGAATCTGAGGGGGAAATCGTGGTGCTTTATATGGCCATGAAATAAAGCCCATCTGGCTTTTGGCATGCCCTCATTTCCCAGACAGATGGATAATGTGGTTAGCTGGAGGCAACTGCCTTTATAACACTCCTATCTGCCCAAGGATGTCTCAGAGATCAGAGGTATGAAAATGTGAGCCGTGTTTTTCTTGGCTGATAAGATCATCCAGATGTAACTTTAGAGCAGGGACCCTCAATTCTCAGCAGCGTGTCACCTGGGACCCTGGGACAAATGCAAATGCAGGCCTCTGCCCAGATCAGCTGAGTTAGAAACTCTGAATGGGGCTCAGCGACCTGTGTGTTAACAAGCCCGTTGGGGGATGCTGACCCATGCTCAAAAGTAAGAAACCATTGCTTTACAAAAACACAACCACGCTTCTAAGAAAGACGAGAAAACATGCTATTTTATAAGTGAATCAACACATTACATAGTAATTTTCTTCTCTAAGACTTCTCTTTTTCAATGCCTGTTATGCACTAAGTGTTCTTCTCTCAGTGCTCAGGGTGGGGAGCGTAGGAATCCCCAGAGAGCAGAAGCAGAAATATAAACGTGCGAACCTTGCTCTGGCCTGGCCTCAGTGTGGACAGGATGGAGCAGACTGTTTTGGGAACCAGGTTGCTAGTGGCCAGAGAGAAAGGAAGACCCAGGAGTGAAATGCCCCTTCCCCCCTTACCCAAGAAACTCATAATCCTATTACATTCAAAACCTCTCTGTTTAAGAGAAACATCAATCAGAACGTCAAACCTCGGGGAAGGTAGGGGAGGGTGGGGGGAAGGGGGAGAGATCGATCAAAGGACTTAAATGCATATGAGCTTAACCAATGACAACAGGGGGTTGGGGGCATGTATGGGAGGCGGGAGTAATGGGGGAATAAGGACACATATGTAATACTTTAATCAATAAAGAAATAAAAATATCTCTGTTTCAATGTTGGAAAAATTGGAAAGAAATTTAAAAAGTACCATTCTTTTAATAAAAAGGACAGCTTTGCCGAAACCGGTTTGGCTCAGTGGATAGAACGTCAGTCTGCAGACTGAAAGGTCCCAGGTTTGATTCTGGTCAAAAGCGTGTACCTTGGTTGTGGGCACATCCCCAGTAGGGGGTGTGCAGGAGGCAGCTGATTGATGTTCCTAGCTCTCTATCCCTCTTCCTTCCTCTCTGAAAAAAAAAAAGTTAATAAGACATTTTTTTTTTAAAAAAAGGACAGCTTTATTGAGGCATCATTCGCATGCCATATACTCAGGGCAGTAGAAATCACGTAACAATGCCCGTTGGGTAAATGAATGAGCGATCTCACACTTGCCTTACTTTTTTTTTTTTTTTAATTCATTTCACTAGACCTTCAGCTCCGTGATCACCATGGCATGTCTAACTTGCTCTCTCCTGGATGCCCAGTGCCTATTCTAGTAGGTGCTCAACAAACCGTTCTTTCATGCATGAACAAATGGAAAAAAAAAATTTCCCCTTCTATTCTGCATTTGTGATAGCAGCCTGCGCTTGCAGAATCGTCCACCTGTAAGTAACGTTCATGACTCCCTACAGATACACATTTTATACAAGAGGGCTCCCGGGTACCTGGACAGCCCTGGCCCAGGCGGGTACAAACCCCCCCAGCCAGCCAGTCAATCCTTCTCTCCCCGCCCCCTCTCCCCGCACAGCTTGCTCTGCCCTCCGCCCGCTCCTCTCCGCCCACTCTCGCCGCGGTCTCCCGGTGGCGGCGGAGGCTTTGTCTCGTGGGCAGGTCGGTCCCCGGCTGCTGGGCTGCCTCCCCCGACACAGCTGCCGCCGGCGGGCGGGCGGGAGGGAGGGCGCGGCGTGGGCGCTGTCCGGCGTCCCGGTGCTGAAACCCCGCCGCCACCACCATGTAAGGGCCATGAGAAGGGCTCGTCCTGGCGCAGCGCGGACATGGAGGAGGACTTATTCCAGCTCAGGCAGCTGCCGTGAGTAGCAGGGGAGGAAGGGAAGGGGAGGGAGGAAGGCGAGTGAGAGGCAGGCCGGCTTTCCTTGCAAATATGACAACCCTGCAGGGGGGCCTCGCTGCGTGGCTTCTGGACTGTACAAGGGAACTGCTTCCGATGGAGAGACTTAGGCCTGGAGGAGAAAAGCCATTTTTCCTACTATCCCCAGGAGCCCAGCCTCTGTATCTGACTCAGTTCGATTTTTTAATTCCCCCCACCACCACCACCACTCCCCCAGATCCGTCAGAATCTTAGGGGGGGGGAATCTACAGGGTGTTCTGCTTCCCCTCTTCATTGCTCTCAGCTCTTAAAAGGGATGTTTGAGGTCTGGGTTTTAAGAAAGCATTCGCCGCTGTTTGTGAAATGTGGACTGAATGTAGGGGCCCATGCAATGACATGGGGAGGGGGGGGGTGGTGTGTTTCCAGCCCTTCTCCTGGGCTGTGACATTCCTAATTTTCCTGCAAGGTCTCCTGGAAGCTGGAAAGGGGGTGATGACCGATGTTGGGAACTGGTGTCTGAAAAGCAAAGGTGCCTTCCTAGAGGGGAGGCCGGGGCCGAGCCGGGCTGTGGACGAAGTGTGTGAATGAGAGGGCTGTGCACCCTGGCTGAAACCTCTCGCCTCCTTCTGAATGGGAGGTGTTTTTGTCACCGCTCGAGTGAGGCTCGCTGTCAACAGCTCTCCTCGGGGACATCAGCCACACACGGCTTAGCAGATGGGCACTGTTAAAGCGATGCCCAGTTTGTTGTGAGACCTTTGAGGAAATAGAGCCAAGCAAAGGAAAGGACAGGGGCCTGGCAGGGGGGCTGAGGGATGTCTCCTACCACAAGCCGGTGGTGATTTCTTAAGCAAATCCCAAGAGTATGAGATAGGCATTAAAAAGGACATGAAAGGGGACTGTTGTTTTAATTTTTAGAAGCACCAGCCATTTGGAGGGGAGCAGTAGACACCATTCGGATTTGTTGGGGAGGATACAATAGTGTTGGGGTGTGTGTGTGTGTGTGTGTTTTCTCGACTTGGACATTTTTTTCCCCTCTCGCTAAGCCACTGAGGAATTCTCCCAAGTGACTTTTAGTGTGACTGACACAGCTCTCCGAGACTCCGAGTCCTGAAGGATATTGCAATATTTATTTCTCAACCAGCGTAACGTTCGTTTTCATTCCCAATGTTTAATTAATTGGAAGGTTACTTTTAGGCTTTCATTAATTGATCCACAAATAGCAGAGCTTATGTAACACAGCATTCTTTCACAAATGCTGAAGGATGCTCAGTTATCATAGCGAAAGGTCAATGCCTGAATGCATAACAATGCAACCTATCTGAGTGCAAATCTGTCACGGGAAGCACACCGCTCCCATTGAAAATAAGTATCCTGTTCAAAGCCAACCTGTTACCCCAAAGGGAAAAAAATGACTTAGAGACTGACATGTGAAATTTGGTCCTCACAATAACAATACGATTTGTATCAGAGCTGCTGTTTTGCTGAGGCAAATTTTCCAATAATGTCAGAGCATGTGAACCTTGCAAGTTACTTAAAGATTCATGTATATTTAATTTACTGGTATACACGCAGGGTACTATTGTAACGAGTCCTTTCTTAATGAAAAAAGGTAAAATAATGGGATGTTTTTACTTCTTTAAATCTAAAAAATAATTTATTTTATGATAATGTATAAGATAAAGCACTATATAATCTATATATAGGGCAGGTTCAAAAAGAAGCACAAGAATTAAAAGTCTCTCTCTTCCCAAACCCCAGTTTTATGTTTCTTGACTATTTTTTCTGATATTTTATGCATATATATGTGTGTATATATACATAGATAATATCTAATATATATATGAGAGACCAAATTGTGTACTAAGAGCATTGGCTATTGAGTAAGGGTCTTGGGTTCCAATCCTGACTCTGCCACTTCCTGGTTATGTGACTTTGAGCAAGTGACTTAACCTTTCTGATTCTGAATTTCCCTGGCCATAAAATGGGGGTCACAACTGTACTTGGTTCTTGGGGTTATTGTGAAGCTACATACCTGACGGACACCAAATATTTAACCCACATTAACTATTATTATTACATCTGAAAAATCATTGATAAAAGCAGTATTGACTTCTTACGTTGGACTTGCAAAGATTGTCCTCGGAAAATCCCAAATGACATTTGAGTGGAGTCAAAATTAGCCCTGAAATGTGTTGACCTCGGTTTATTTAAAACAAATAAAGAATGGCCACGTGAATCTGAGTGGGATACAAATCACGACTGAGATGGACTTAAGCCACACCCTGTGTATGTTAGCCACAGATTGCAGGTAGCAGAGCTCCTGAGAGCAACACGGTTTAAGAAATCAGAGTGCCTTCTAGAGGGTTGGCAAGAGTGGTGCTTGGAACAGGCTCTATCCCACGGGAGGCCAAGTGTTGATGGATAATAAGCCACTAAGTAGTTGATGGGTCAGGGGATGGGGAGAGGGAATGAGGGTGCCTAAGAGAACAGGCCTTCCTTGTACTTGGAACTCCTTTCACATAGCTCCAGGACGGTCCATTTGAGACCACAAACAACCTGTGCTTTTCACCTGGTGTTCACTCAGGCTCAAGACTATGTTCCAGGGCATTCCAGAGGCTGGGATTTTTTTATTTTTATTCTAGTTCTGCCTTATTGTGTGACCTTGTGCAAGTTAAACTTTTCTGAGTCTCTCCTTTCTAGAATGATTTCTTGAAAGCAAGTTTTGCAGACTACATTGATGGATGGATGGATGGATTGGTTGATTCATTTATTCAATTTACTTGGGTGCCATCCTTGATACAAGAGACTCTACAACTAAATAAGAGAAGCTTCTAACTTAGAGTTGCAGTATATAACACAGTCATCACTAGCTCTATGTGGCTATTTAAATTTAAACATAGCCCTAGCCAGTTTGGCTCAGTGGATAGAGCATCAGCCTGCTGACTGAAGGGTCCCAGCTTCGATTCTGATCAAGGACATGTACCTTGGTTGCAGGCTCCTCCCCAGTCTGGGCCCTGGTCAGGGCTCATGCGGGGAGGCAACCAATGGATGTGCTTCTCTAACATCGATGTTTCTCTCTCTTTCCCTCTCTCTTCCACTTTCTCTAAAAATCAATTGAAAATTATCCTCAGATGAGGATTTGAACAACAACAACAAAAACACACTTTAAACATAAATCATGTCGTTAGTATGTGAAGTAACTTTTATAATATAATACATATTATAAATGTAATTTATAAATACACTACGTGAAATTTGAAAAACCAGTCCCTTGGTAGCATTGACCAGGGAGGAATGGTTCACCGTCACCCACTTCAGGCAAAAAGTAGGGAGAGCACAGGGAGCCTCAAGGTTAACCCACAGAAGCCTTTTACAACCTCAAGTTCATAGCCACTCAGACCTCATTATTTCCAACACTTGGTAGCTAGCTTCACTCTAAGGCAGTGGTTCTCAACCTTCCTAATGCCACGACCCTTTAATACACTTCCTCGTGTTGTGATGACCTCCAACCATAAAGTTATTTTCTTCATAGCTATAATTGCTACTTCATAGCTATAATTTTGCTACTGTTAATGAATCGTAATACAAATATCTGCGTTTTCTGATGTTCTTAGGCTCTACAGCAGTGGTTCTCAACCTGTGGGTTGCGACAGGTTGAGAATTGCTTGCTGTAGAGCGGTAGTCTGGTAGTTTTCAGTCTGGTAGCTTCATGATCTCAGGGGATAGAAGTCCAGAAACTCAGATGGAAAGAGAAAAACAACAACAACACACTTCCTTGTCTAAAAACAACAACAACACACTTCCTTGTCATAATCAAGTCTCAGACCCTAACGGAAGGTCTGAGGTGAATGAACTTCATGACGGTACAAACAAGATCTTGACTGTTGACAGCTAGTTCCTCAAGCTCTTCTCTTCCTTTAAACGGCAACATTATGTAAAATAAATGTTCCCAACTATTTTTGTGAATTGTATGCTATCTATACCCCACAAATGCCAGGGAGGTATGAGCCAGCCTGCTTGGAAGCCCTCATATATTTAACATATGTCACTGCTATTTTCTTTCATATTTCTTTTTTTCTCTCTTGGGAAGTCTTGTTGGCTCAGCATTCGATACATACTTATAGAAACCCGACCCATTCAAAATGTGGCCCGGCTTTCTGAGTCTAATTTAATGTCAAAGGTCCGTTACGTCTGCCTTAAAACAAGTGTTCGTAAATAAATAATGTGTTCATAAATACCGCTGCCCTGGCTTCTTGTGTGTTTGCCAGAGGAGGACTGTGAGCAGATTTTGGTTTAAACTTGCAGGGAGCTAAGCCACTTTCTCAAGGTCACATCCCGCAAAGGTCAACGAACTCCACGTTCAAGGCCAAAAGGTGGCCTGAGTGAAGCCAGGTGGGAGGGAAGCTCATGCTGACTCGTTGCCTGCCACTGCCCATTCATCAGGTTCAGTGAGACTTCACGATGGCCCTGCACGCCCGTCATCATTCCTATTTCACAGACGTAACATGCTCAGCAGGTGCTGCCAGATCAGCAAGAGCTCTGTAGAGAGTTGCTATTGTTACGTATATTTATTATTATTATTTTTTAAAATATTTTAATTGATTTTTTTTTTTTTTTTTTTTTTACAGAGAGGAAGGGAGAGGGATAGAGAGTTAGAAACATCGATGGGAGAGAAACATCGATTCAGCTGCTTCCTGCACACCCCCTATTGGGGATGTGCCTGCAACCAAGGTACATGCCCTTGACTGGAATCGAACCTGGGACCCTTCAGTCCACAGTCCGATGCTCTATCTTTGGCTATGCTGAGCCAAACCGGTTAGGCCACACTCAAGTCTTCATGGCAAGGACCTAGATCATGGGACCATATTCTAGCATAGTGGTTGGCAAACTCATTAGTCAACAGAGCCAAATATCAACAGTACAATGATTGAAATTTCTTTTGAGAGTCAGAAACCAACTTCTGCACATGGGCCACGGAGTTTCAATTGTACCGGAATCAAACCTGGGACCTTTGAGTCTGCAGCCCTCGCTCTATCCACGGAGCCAAACTGGCCAGGGCTGCACCCACTTTCTATCTCTGTGAATTTGATTCTTTTTGGCCCCCTCCTATAGGGGCACAATATTTGTCCTGGTGTGTAGGCTTATTTCACCAAGGGTAACGTCTTCTAAGTTCACCCATGTTGCAGAACGCGTGCGAATCCCCTGCCCTTTTAGACCACAGTTGTTTTTGTCTTTGGCTATTGTGCTACAGATCAACTTACAGTTTCTAAGACGTTTTCTTAAGTGGCCGCGCCATCATCTCTGGTTCCCCCTCCCCCTGTGATTGTTTCTGGGTTTTGTTCGTACTTATCGCTTTTAGAGAATAATTATCACAAGCAAGGCTGCAAACAGCCTGTGAGCTTCTGCAGGAGGAGAGGCTGCCAGTGGGGCCCAGGGAGGGCAGGTGGCGTTGCCGAAGCCTGGCTTCCGCACTCCCTGCGGGGCCTTGGGCAAGCTCCCAGCCCTTCCGTGCTCCAGCGTCCTCCTCCGGAACACAGGGACAGTGACAGCGAAGGTGACACAAGATCACCGATGGAAAACGCACACCCTGGGCCTGACACGTGGCTCGCCGAGAATCCCCAGCGGCCGTTACGTGGGCCGTGAATCGTCGCCTGCTTGGGTCTACCTCAGGGGTCGGTGAACTCATTCGGCCACAGAGCCGAACGTCAACAGGACAACGACTGAAATGTCTTTGGAGAGCCACATTTTTTTAAACCTAAACTTCTTCTAATGCCACTTCTTCAACATAGACTCGCCCAGGCTGTGGTATTTTGTGGAAGAGCCACACTCCAGGGACCAAAGAGCCGCATGTGGCTCGAGAGCCGCGGTTTGCCGACCACGGGGACTCTATCCCGACAATGAACTGCTGGCACCGCCATCCGCGGTGGGCGCACAGAGCATGTTACCTGTTGGAAGCTATCACGGGTTGCCTTCCAGAAGGTTGCAGGGGCTGCTATCAGTCACAGACCGAAGGGAGGGACCCCCAGGCGGCCCTTGAGGAGAGGATGCGACCAAAGCCGTAGTCAAGGAAGATTTCCGGGCCCCGTGGCCATGTCCTTCTCGGATGCTGTCCTCAGCATCGAGGGTGACCCTCGGACCTTTCCTTCATCCCTGAAGACGAAGTGATAATGTGCATGAATGTTCATGTCCTTCCTTTGCCTAATAAGGGTCAATACGTTTGTCTTGTACAGATAGGTACCGAGGGGGACTGTTTATGCTTTTATTTTGGAGTTGCTTCTGGGAGACAGAGAGTCCCTTCCTGGAACCCATTTCACACCACCCCTGACTCCGTGGGTTGCAGAGTGGAAATGTCTCAGCTACAGGGACGCTGCCCAGATCTAACTGTATTCCCTCAGAGCAGTGGTCTGCAAACCGTGGCTCACGAGCCACAGGCGGCTCTTTGGCCCCTTGAGGTTTTAGCAAAGGCCAGCTTAGGAGTACCCTAATTAAGTTAACAACAAGGTACCTACCTCTATAGTTTACATTTAAAACATGCGGCTCTCAAAAGAAATTTCCATTGTTGTACTGTTGATATTTGGCTCTGTTGACTAATGAGTTTGCCGACCACTACCTTAGAAAGATTGGGGCCCCAGATGGCCAGCTATCTTACTGTTGTAAGAGAGATCAGAAGTCTTGCTTTTCTTGTGAATTTTTTCAATTAAAAAAAAAAAAAAGTGACATCCACTTAAAAAAACACACCACCAGGTAGGCAACTTCATGTGGGCATCATGTAACCTTAGGTGACCACAGTGTTCTCTCTGCTACAGAGAGATGAGTCTAAATTCTGAAACACACAAGCTCCCAAACTATTTAATAAAGCCCTCCCCATTCCCATAGCCTACCACGTGACTGGAGCCCCATGGGGCTGGGCATTGCCAAACCTGTGCAGCCATATGTGCCAGCCCTGATGCACGACTTAGGAAGGTGTCAATCTCCACAGGCCAACTCAACAGAAATGCCAACCGCCTCCCCATCCAACTCCCCTGACCGTGAGAAAAAAAGCCTTTCACCTGTCTTGGGCACATGAGCTGTGCAGCGAGACTGTTGAGGGGAGTTCCAGCCTTCATGACCAGCTTCGCTCTGTCCTCTAGGGTGGTGAAATTCCGTCGCACGGGCGAGAGTGCAAGGTCAGAGGACGACACGGCTTCGGGAGAGCATGAGGTCCAGATCGAAGGGGTCCGCACGGGCCTACAGGCGGTCGAACTAGACGATGGGGCAGCTGTGCCCAAGGAGTTTGCCAATCCCACCGACGGTGAGGGGGCCCTGCCTTTGGGGCATCAGCCCAGACCACAGTCCGGGGCTCTGAGGGGCCTGGGTTGCTTCCCCAGGGGGCATGCTCAGAGGGATCTCGCGAAAAGGCAAGTAGGAGGGCCCCGAGGGCCCAGGGGTGATACTGAAAGTGTGAGCTGGACCTGCATGGCTTACTTCAAAGGGCTACATCACAATCCCTGCCACCAGCGTCACCCACAGCACTTAGCTGAGGACAGCACAATGATGGTGGTGGTGATGACGGTGATGGTGGCTATGATGGTGATGTGATAATATATTGATGATGGTGGTGATGATGATAGTGATGGTGATGATGATGAAGGTGGTGATGATGAAGGTGATGATGGTGATGACGATAGTGGTGGTGGTGGTGGTGATGATGGTGGTGGTGATGATGGTGGTGGTGGTGATGGTGGTGGTGGTGATGGTGGTGGTGGTGGTGGTGGTGGTGATGGTGGTGGTGGTGATGGTGGTGGTGGTGGTGGTGGTGGTGATGGTGGTGGTGGTGATGGTGGTGGTGGTGATGATGGTGGTGATGGTGGTGATAGTGTATTGATGATGAGGTAATGATGGTAGTGATGAAGGTGGTGATGGTGATAATAATAGTGATGATGATGGTGATAATGTATTGATGATGTGATGATGGTGATGACGATGGTGGTGGTGGTGATGATGATGGTGATGGTGTTGGCTATGATGGTGATGGTGATGATGATGGTGGTGGTGATGGCTATGATGGTGATGGTGATGATGAGGGTGGTGGTGATAGTGTATTGATTAAGGTGACCAGACATCCCGCTGTTAGCGGGACAGTTCCGCTGTGTTTTAAAAAAAAAACACCATTGTTCCAAATAAGAGAGGAAGGGAAGAGAGAGAGAGAGAAAGAGAGAGAGAGCTCCAGGGCCAGGGATCGAACCTGCAACCCAGGTACTTGCCCTTGACCGGGAATGGAACCCGCGACCCTCCGGTGCTCGGGCTGACGCTCTAACCACGGAGCCACACTGGCCAGGGCAGTTTTCCCTTTTGTAAACAACGCTGCCGTGGTTCTGTAGCAAGGTACCTTTTCACACTTGCCGTAATGTTTTCCTAAGATACATTCTAGAGGCGGCATGTGCCGCGTGTAAGGAGCTTGGCTGTGGACACCCCTCCTTCCCCTCCTCACCCCCCGCCCCCGCCCCCGCCCCGGGACACCTCCACACTATGACCACTCCGTCCCCCTCCCCCTTCACCCTTTCCAGATACTTTCATGGTGGCAGATGCGGTGGAAGCCATTGGATTTGGGAAGTTCCAATGGAAGCTGTCTGTCCTCACCGGCCTGGCCTGGGCAAGTACCCCCCGGGGCAGGGACCTCCCTTTCAGTCTCCGAGAAACCCTTCCTGATGCCGCCCCCCGGGGTTCCGTGACCCACGAGGCAGGAGCCCGCTCTTTCCGCGGAGAGCCTTGGCATGAGCTGTCAGGGTTCTGAGGGGTGACCCTGGGGGTCACGAAGGTCAGCGCTCGGGGGGGCGCTGGGGGATGCTGGCCACCGGCCTCAGGAGGAGCGGGAGCTCCTGGCTCAGGAAGCGGCCCTCAGTCCCCCCGGGGGCTCAGGGCTACGGGGAGATGGTGATGTCATCTGCGGAGCTCACCCTAGAACAGCGGCAAACCCCGGCTCGCGAGCCACATGCGGCCCTTTGGCCCCTTGAGTGTGGCTCTTCCACAAAATACCGCGTGCGGGTGCGATTGAAACTTCGTGGCTCATGAGCAGAAGTCAGTTTTCGGCCTGGGCGAGTCTATGTTGAAGAAGTGGCGTTAGAAGAAGTTTAAGTTTAAAAAATGAGGCTCTCCAAAGAAATGTCATTCGTTGTCCTGTCGGCATTTGGCTCTGCTGACTAATGAGTTTGCCGACCACTGCACTAGAGTTGGTGGTGGGGGCTGAGTGAGGGGTCAGCCGTCCAGGCTCTCACGGGGATAGAGTTGGGGAGCGGGGGTGGGGGGCGCTGAGCTGAGGTCAGCCACCCGGGCACCCGGCAGCGGCCTGGCTCATGACACCTGCTCGCTCCCTGCAGATGGCCGACGCCATGGAAATGATGATCCTGAGCATCCTCGCGCCCCAGCTGCACTGCGAGTGGCGGCTCCCCAGCTGGCAGGTGGCCTTGCTGACCTCGGTAGGCAGCAGCGGCCCTCCCGCTGGGCACTGTGCTGGTCCACGGGGTGGGGGATCCCCCTGCTGCTGCCAGCCGCTCAGCAGAAAAAAAGTCAAATTCTCTGCATGGAAACACCGTGACCTCAGCTCCCTTTACTCCCCGGTCCATTGGCAGCCACCTCTACTGCACCCGGGGATCCAAGTCCTCGGGGTCCCCAGACATTGGCTCCTTGGGTATATCCCTTAGACCGGATACACCTCACTCATCCAGAAAGGATGTGCCAATACCTCCCACAGGAGGGTGATTGAGGGTTTTATTTTAATTTTATTTAAAAAAAAATATTTCTTTATTGATTTCAGAGAAGAAGGGAGGAGAGAGAGATGGAAACATCAAAGATGAGAATCATTGATCGGCTGCCTCCGTCACACCCCCTACTGGGGACTGAGCCTGCAACCGAGGCATGTGCCTTTGGTAGGAATCGAACCAGGGACCCTTCAGTCCGCAGGCTGATGTTCTATCCACTGAGCCAAGCTGGCGAGGGCAAGGGTTTTGTTTTTTAAATAAGTATTTATTGATTTTAGAGAGAAAGATAGACACACCGATGAGAGAGGAGCATCAATATCGATTGGCTGCCTCCTGCACAACCCCTGCTGGGGATCGATCCCAAAACCCAGGCATGTGCCCTGACCGGAAATTGGACCGGGACCTTCTGGTTCATAGGTCGATGCTCAATCATGGAGCCACACCGGGCAGGCCTGAGCAGGTTTCTTAACCCAACTGAGCCTCAGCCAAATGACCTCCCCTCTCCGAGTCTCAGTTTGCTCATCTGTAAAATGGGGCCAATCACAGCTTCCACCCCCTCAGATTGCGGTGAGGTTTGCAGGCGCGTGAAGCACACACACAATCGTGTTTGCCCCTCAGCAGCCGGATCTCAGAGAATGCTGGTGCATGGTTATCGCTAAGGTGTGACGTCCCAGGTTCGATCTGTCGTTCCCTTTCTCTGCGACCCATGCTCCATGTCACCGTCTAACGGAAACCTCCGTTTCCACCCGCAGGTGGTCTTTATCGGCATGATGTCCAGCTCCACCCTCTGGGGGAACATCTCGGACCAGTACGGCAGGAAAACAGTAAGGCGGTCTCTCCTAAGGGCCTGTCCCCTAGCCTAGGTTATCTCCGTGGTGACGGCGACAAGCAGCAACACAGATGCTGCTGGAGCAGTGGGAGGCCTTTGGAGGAGCCATGTCGATGTGCTATGATCGATGTGCTGTGAGAAGACACTGCTCTGAGGCCACTGTGGAGTCTTGAAATCACATATTGGGACACTCAAGCACATGGGTTTTTTTAAAAAACATATTTTATTGATTTTTTACAGAGAGGAAGGGAGAGGGATAGTTAGAAACGTCGATGAGAATCATCGACCAGCCGCCTCCTGCACACTGGCCACTGGGGATGTGCCCGCAACCAAGGTACATGCCCTTGACCAGAATCGAACCTGGGACCTTTCGGTCTGCAGACCGATGCTCTATCCACTGAGCCAAACAGGTTTCGGCAAGCGTGTGGATTTTAAGACTCTTTGGGTTCCAAGGAGGAAAACCTCCATTGAGCTAGCTTATGCCCAAAGAAAGGAATTAAGGATGTGTGTGGCAGGCACAGATGTCACAGTCATGGGCTTAGGGGTGCATCAGTGTTGCTTTATTATTATTATTTTAAATATATAATTTATTGAGGAAGGGAGAGGGATAGAGAGTTAGAAACATCAATGAGAGAGAAACATCGTTCAGCTGCCTCCTGCACACCCCCTACTGGGGATGTGCCCGCAACCAAGGTACATGCCCTTGACCGGAATCAAAGCCGGGACCTTTCAGTCCGCAGGCCGACGGTCTATCCGCTGAGCCAGACCGGTTAGGGCAGTGTTCCTTTATTATTATTGCAATAGATCCAGGATTTCCTGCTTGAATAATTCCTGTCCTACCTGTTCTCTTAGGTACACAATACCTTTATTTGTATCAGTTGTTGTGTGTGTAGTTTCATGACATGAATTAAAAAAAAAAACAAAAAAACTTTACAGAGCATCTTAAATGGGAAATCAGTCACAATACAAGGAAATATCTGCAAAAGTAAATACAATGAAAATGAAATAATGTTATTAAGTTCTAGCTGCTTACCATTGGCCCCACTGCTCTCTTGGTTAAAAAGAGAGATTGGTAGGTGGTCCAAAAGGTGTCAAAGACAGACTGGCACCACACGGATGCCTCCTCTGGCCATCAGCAGAAGAGAGTGTGCAGGAGGCAGCTGGTCGATGTTTCTCTCTCATTGATGTTTCTAACTCTCTATCTCTCTCCCTTCCTCAATAAATTATATATTTAAAATAATAATAATAAAGCAACACTGATGCACCCCTAAGTCATTAACATGGAAAAGAAGCTGAAACCAGTTTGGCTCAATGGATAGAGCGTCTGCTTGCGGACTCAGGGATCCCAGGTTCAATTCCGGTCAAGGGCATGTACCTTGGCTGCAGACACATCTCCAGTAGGGGGTGTGCAGGAGGCAGCTGATGGATGTTTCTAACTCTCTCTCTCTCTTCCTCTCTGTAAAAAATAAATAAAATGTATTTTTTTTTAAAAAAGAAGAAATCACTTTCTTGCAAGGTGATTCACAGTTATTTGAAATATTCTCTCTATTAGTTAAAGTCATGTCCCCATAGACCTGAAATCAGCTGGTAGACCTCCAAATTTCCTCTCTAGTCCTTTTAATTTAGTTTATGGTTTTAAAAGAAATATGTATTTTTATTAATGTCAGAGAGAAAGGAAGAGGGCAAGAGAAAAACATCAATGATCAGAGAGAATCATTGATCGGCTGCCTTGGGGATCGAGCCCACAACCTGGGCATGTGCCCTGACAAGGAAATTGAACCGTGACCTCCCAGTTCCCAGTTCGATGCTCAACCACTGAGCAACACTGGCCGGGAGGACAATCTTCCTAGGTCTCATGCACAGAGGGACATCTTTCACTTCTGGGCCCTGGCTATCCATGCCAATCATTGGGACAACCGAGAAAACCCACAGATTTGCCACCTACCACCTACCCACACAGAGAACGCTCAGTTGTTTGGGTTCCCCTTAAACAGGACCCTAATGGTGACTTTATTTATTTATATATTGTATTGATATTTTTACAAAGAGGAGGAAGGGAGAGAGATAGAGAGCTAGAAAGGTCAATGAGAGAGAAAAATCGATCAGCTGCCTCTTGCACACCCCCTACCGGGGATGTGCCTACAACCAAGGTACATGCCCTTGACCGGAATCGAACGTGGGACCTTTCAGTCCACAGACCGACGCTTACCACTGAGTCACACCGGTTTCTGCCCTAATGGTGACTTTAAATGGGAGGAGGGCCCTGAGGCCTGGCGGTGCTGAGCATCCCTGTGACTCGGTGTCTCCCGTCCGTGCAGGGGCTGAAGATCAGCGTGCTCTGGACCCTGTACTACGGGATCCTCAGTGCTTTCGCGCCCGTGTACAGCTGGATCCTGGTGCTCCGGGGCCTGGTGGGCTTCGGGATCGGAGGGGTCCCCCAGTCGTAAGTAAACATCCAGCTCCGGCTCATAGCCAGGCAGCCCGTCCGTCCCCCGGGCCAGGGCCTTGGGGGTTCTCACCGCTAGTTAGTTCAACAGCAGCGATGAGATGTAAACATCCCTGGATCCTCCTCCAAACATCTTAGCTTAACCGTGTCCTATAACTCTTTTGTCTACGAGGAGAGCGCATAAAAACCACCAACAAAATTACAGCAGACATATTTAACCCCCCCGAGAGAGCCACTGGCCTCCCGGCTCCTTCGCTTCAGCCATTTACGTAGAAATAATCGTCTTAATCAGGCAATGTGCTTATCTAGTTATAAAATGGCTCCCCTAAGCTCATTATTTGGGAACATTTAATGGAAGACATTTTTACGTAATTAAATGTAGCTAAGAGTTTCCATTCATTGAGAATAGCTTTACCCAGTTGCACCAACTCACCCAACCAAGGGAGTGGGATTTTGCTGTGTAGTTTTTAAGGGCCCAACCATGAGAAGGCCTTATAAGGTACCCCACATTTTTAGTATAAATGCAAATTGTAGTACTGAAATGTCTTAATTGAAATTTTTTCTTCTTTCAGTTTTATTGATATATAATCAACACACAGCAGTTTTAGGAGTACGGCATAACGACTTGACTTACGTAGCTTGCAAAATGATTACCTCAGTACGTTTAGATAGCATCCATCATCTCCTATACAAATTATATTATTAATAAAGAGCCAGATCATCTCTCTGCTCTGCTCTATCCCTTTCTATGACCCTCCTTTATTTCTTTTTTTTTCTTTTCTTTATTTCTTCCCTTAAAGTATGTGTTCACATCAGTTCTTGGCGATAGCAACAATATTAGCATTAACAGTGACGATGACGATGATTTTAATAGAATGTTTACCAAGTGCTAGGCCAGTGCTAGGTGCTGTCTTCACACTCTCTCATCTTGTCCATTGAACAATCCTATTATCCCCATTTTACAGATGAGAAAACGGAGGCTCCAAGATCATAAGTGACCCGTGGGGCCAGGCGGTTCTTACGTGGGGCGTGGAAGCTGCTTTTGCTTTGTAACAAACATTCCCAGCACCAATGGGGCTTAAAAATGATTCCTTTAACTCGTGATTCTGCAGTTGGTCAGATCGGTTGTTCTGGTCTCGATGGGGCTTGCTTATGTGTCTTCAGTCGACGGGTGGATTGAATGGGGGCTGGCTAGGCTAGGACGGCCACGGCTGACTCCTCCGCATTCCACAAGCCTCTCATCCTCCAGCTGGCTAGCCCAGGCATCTGGTCACGTGGCACCTGGCCAGGGGTCCAAGAGCAAGCAGAAGCCACAAAGCCTCTGGAGGCCCAAGCTTGGGACTGGCACCGCAACATTCTATTGATCAAAAGCAAGTCACGGAACCCAGGCTGGAGGGCTGGGGGCATAGGCTCTGGTTGGGGTGGGCTGCCAAGTATCATTGCGAGGGAGCGTAGGCGCAGGGAGGGGAACCTGCACGGCCTCCAGTCCGGGTTGCCCAACGCCAAAGCTCTCGCTTGAACAAATATTGGGGAAGAGTTCTGAGCGTACGGAGTCAGAGGTCCCGGTAAACCAGCAATGCCCCTGGGGCCCGAGTACTGATTTGGGGGGAGGGGCGTTCTGGGAACGGAGAATGGGTGGTTCTGAGCAGGTGGTATAATTTTTTAAATTATTAATTAAAAATTTGATTTCAGAGAAAGAGAGAGAGGGAGAGAGACATTGATTTATTGTCCCACTCATGTATGCATTTATTAGTTGACTCTTGATCGTGCCCTGAGGGGCTATCCAACTGGCCATTTTGGTGTATCCGGATGATACTCTGACCAACTGAGCCACTGGCCACGTGCTATCCTTTTAATTACTGCAGGAAAGAGGAGTCACGTTTAGGATGATACTAATAATTCCATTTTCTGTCTATGAAAGAGCATTAAAGGAGACTTTAATTCAAGCAAGGGAGTCCAGTGTAACTTCCTTTTTATCGTTACAGACCATACACTTTTGTTTTAGAAAAAAATTCCGGTGTAAAGAAGCATCCTCCTCACCCCCAAATGATAATCGCCTCTAACTGAACCCACCTGGGCACATCACTCCTTTTTTCCAGTAGAGGGTGCTGTGTGCTTCCGCAGAAATGCCACTTTCCCAAGAGGCGCCCGACGGGGGCTTTAGCTGCTCTTAAAAACATGCGTGCGCACCCCCAGGTAGCTGCCCACCCCGTCCACCTCGCCATCGGCCTCAGCAGGGTCTTCAGTTTGGTGTCTACAGCCACCTTGCTCCCAAACCTGTCCTGGGCACGGCTCTTTCTTCCACATTTTAAGCAGAAACGAGGAGCGGAGACCACAGGTCATTTCTTGCTAAGCCTGGGATCCAGATGGCAAGTCTCAGTGGCCAACGCACCACCAGACACACGCGATGGCTTGCAGCGAGGGTTTGTTTACGCCAGTATCGGCTGCTTCTTGGCGCGGCTGATTCTGTTGCTCATTCTTTTACTTTCCAGTGTCATTGTAATCATAATCACCACACACTGGATGGAGATCAAACAGCTCGTTTCCATTGTCAACGGCTATGAGTCATGGCCAAGTGTGGGGCACAACAACGCCAGGAAAAGATGTTTTTTTGTGGCATCGGTTGCAAAAAACAAAACAGGAAATGGCTAATATCTACATGTTGACCAACAGGGTTGAGGCTGTTAGAAGATAACGCTATAGATCTATGGATATGGATATGGATATGGATATGGAAAGATTCCCAAACTATCGTGTGAGAAGCAAATCCTAACACAGATTCTGGAACAAGTACAGTTGAGCCTTGAACAACTGTTAGGGACCCTACCACTCTACAGCAGAAAATTATAATTTAACTTTTAAATATATATATATATATATATTATTGATGTTTCACATAGAGGAAGGGAGAAAGATAGAGAGCTAGAAACATGAATGAGAGAGAAACAGCGAACAGCTGTCTCCTGCACACATCCCATGGGGGACGTGCCCACAAACAAGGCACATGCAGACCAGAATCAAACCTGGGACCCTTCAGTCCACAGGCAGATGCTCCATCCACTGAGCCAAACCAGTTAGGGCTCTAATATAACTTCTGACTGCCCACTGGCCCAGTAAAGGGATTCCAGGAGATCTGGAGGGGTCCTGATCTGCCTCGGAAGGCTTCGTGGAAATTAGCTTCCCTCTGCCCCCACCTCCCTTATGAGGAGCCAGGAGAGTAACAGGAGGCCACCAAGTAGCTCGGATGCCGGGCTTCAGTGGGAGATGAGGGCTAGAGAAGGTCTCCTCTTCCTAGCAACATGGAAGGCAGCGTGGGGGCGTGGCCTAGGAGTTTTCCTTCTCTGTCCAGTGGCTGAGGAAGAGAAAGGGGAGGGAGGGGTGTGGGGAGGCAGTGGACGGAGGAGGCTGCTGGAGCGGTTAAGACGTTGGTTCCATGGAGCACACAAGTAAATTGCCTGACCAGATGCATAAATGTATTGAGGATAATGAGACCCAGGTTCCTCAATGTTTTTGGAGAAGGGGTTTACAAACATAGAAACTGGAAGGTTAGAAAGAACCCTGACCTTCTGGTTGGACTGGGATGGAAAGTATTGGTATGAGCTCATTGGTGGTTTTTTAAATACATGTACATGGGTATAGATATATAGATATAGATGTATGGTGTGTACGTGGGGAGAGAGAGAAACAGACAGTGATAAATAAATAGATGATAGACAGATAGATAATAGATGGATAGAACTTCAGAAAGCAGTAGCAATCATCCTGCTCAGTCCTGGCCTTGACCCGCTTTCTGCGTCTCTGCTTCCCCAGGGTGACTCTGTATGCCGAGTTCCTGCCCATGAAAGCCAGAGCCAAGTGCATTTTGCTGATAGAGGTGAGGAGGGGGCTGGTTTGCGGGGAATTCGCAGGCTCTGGCGTGAGGGGAATTCGCAGGCCCTGGCGTGAAGGGAATTCGCAGGCTCTGGCGTGAGGTTCTCAGGTGTCTGGAGCCACAGGACAAGGAAAAGCGGGTTTAAGAAAAATATAAAAGCCCTAACTGATATGAGTCAGTGGATAGAGCATCAGTCCTCAGACTGAAGGGTCATGGGTTCAATTCTGGTCAGGATACATATCTCAGTTGCAGGCTTGATCCTCGGCCCTAGTCGGGACACGGGCAGGAGGTAATCAATCAATGTGTCCTATCACATCTCTCTCTCTCTCTCTCTCTCTCTCTCTCTCTCTCTCTCTCTCTCTCTCTCTCTCTCCCTCTCCTTCTCCCTCTCCCTCTCCCTCCTCACTCCCTCCCTCCTCCCTCCCTCCCTCCCTCTTCCTTCTATTCTCTCAAAAATCAGTGAGAGAATATCCTCAGGTGAGGATTAACAACCAAAAAATACACACACACACACACACACACACTTATATATACAGACTTAGTATGCAAAGATTTAAATGGATCAGCTGTTGATTTTAACCCGGTTGTTTTGAAAGTTCTTCAATTGGGGAGAGAGAGAGAGAGAGAGAGAGAGAGAGAGAGAGAGAGAGAGAGTGTTTGGCCAGGACTGTTGGATGGGAGCTGTAACCTTCACCTGAGGGATGCAGCCAGCCCATCACTACTCTGCAGAGAGGAAGCCAGAGGAATGAACAGGCAATCCAATCTCTCTTTCCTTCCTCCTTCCCTCCCATCCCTGGGGGGGGGGGGGTCCCCCATTGGCTGTACTGAATGGGAACCACAGGAGAGGGAGCCTGTGGATACAAGGTGACAAACAATGGAGAGTGACTTGGAGAAGCAAACAGAGGATGTGCGGTCCCACAGGGAAGAGGCAATTCATATATGTGCCAGGACACAAGCATATATAGAGAGGAAGGGAGTGGGGTAGAAGGTTAGAAACATTGATGAGAGAGAAACATTGATCAGCTACCTCCCGCCCACTCCCCACTTGGTATGTGCCCACAATCAAGGTACATGTCCTTGACCGGAATTGAACCTGAGTCCTCTCTATCCACTGAGCTAAACCGGTCAGGGCAAGAGGCAGTTCTGATAAAGGAGATGGCTGTCCATGGACAAAAACCAACGTGTTCACGACCTCGCATGATATTGATCACATTGGTCTCCTTATGCACACACTCCCGTGGGTGCCCTGCAAATGTCCCACACTGCGCATGGGCGAGATGGTGGCCCTGGCCCAGCCCTATAAACCGCAGGAAACGGGGTGGCCATTCTGACCTTGCTGACCCCCAAGGGCCCCGTACCCCCTGGGTTATCGTGTCTGCAGTGCCCCTGGAATGGCTCACTGCGCTGACCAGTGCTGCCCTCTTCATTCTTCCGTCCAGGTGTTCTGGGCCATCGGGACCGTGTTCGAGGTGGCCCTGGCCGTGTTTGTGATGCCCAGCCTGGGCTGGCGTTGGCTGCTCTTCCTCTCGGCTGTCCCGCTCCTCATCTTCGCTGTGCTGTGTTTTGTAGGTACCCCTTTAAGAGACTCCAAAGCCTTTGCTACGGACCTTCTGCTGTCCGCTGTGTTTTGACAGGGAGGGTGTGGAGGACAGCACCAAAGCTACCTTTTTCGATTATTATTTTTTTAAAAATCAGGACAGGAGATCAAGGAACGGGGCCTGCGGCAGGCTCCGTGGGGAGCACTGGGTTTCCTCCAGACAGACGCTGCTGGGATGCTCTTTAGGGAGATAGTGGGGGGGTGCAGGAGGGGTACCCAGGTCCCACCATGGCAAGATGCACCCCGAAGGGAACTGTATCAGAATAGTTGGGGCTCTTAGGTTGTAAATGACAGAATCCCAACTCAAACTGGGCCCAGGAGCTCAAATGATCTCTCCATCTCCACTCAGCTCTGCATAAACTACACCCTCCCTTCCTCCCCGCAGTGAGATCATGCGCTTTATCCAGTTTATGGATGAGGAGATGGAGGCACAGAGAGGTTGGGTAATTGCTCAAGGTCACACAGCCAACCTACTCCATGGCAGAGCCAGGCTCTGAAGCCAGTCCCCCCACCCTTAAGGTCTCTCTACACGCAGATGAGTGTGAGGCTGGAACCCAGTGTTCTGTCTCCCCCCCCACCCCACCCCTCGCAACCTGCCACGTGGGGCCGTCCTGCCCCCACAGTGGCTGCCGGAGAGCGCGAGGTATGACGTGTTGTCGGGGAACCAGGAGAAGGCCATGGCCACGCTGAAGAGGATAGCGACGGAGAACGGGGCCCCCATGCCGCTGGGAAAGCTCATCATTTCCAGGCAGGTCAGTTCCTGGCCCCCCTGGGAGGGCAGGGTGCCCCTGTGCCCGGGTGGGGCATGTGTGTGTGTGTGTGTGTGTGGTCGCAGGTGTCCATGGAGTGGGCCAGGGTGTGTGTGTGTGGGGGGGAGGGGACAGATCCTGCAAGGTGAACCTGTTAGCTGCCCTTGGTGTATTCTCACTGCCAAGCCCTGACAGTGCCACCTGGAGCACGCACCCCGTGATGAGAGGAGTGGAAGGCAGGGCCCGTTAATGGATCCGGTGTCACCTTTCAGCGCCCATTACGTCTGATTAGTAAATGTGATGGATCGCCAGAGGCCGGACCATAAAACCGCATTAGAAAGGGCCATGATAGGCTTAGGTCCAGGGCGCCAAACTGCACTTAATGGATGGCGCATCGCTGCTTGGAAGGCAACACCATCAGGGAACCCACCCCAGAGAGAATGCACTAGCAGGAGCACCTCCCACGCACATGCGTGCCCAGCAAGGGGAGGGGAGGGGTGCGGTTTGAAGGGAAAAGGCTGTCAGGTTAAAGGCTGCGGTTCCTGACCTCAGACATGACAGATACCCTTCAGCGAACAACAGACGGTACATGGAAATTATCTTTAAAAATAAAAATTATATTTTATTGGTTTTACAGAGAGGAAGAGAGAGGGATAGAGAGTTAGAAACATCGATGAGAGAGAAACATCAATCCGCTGCCTCCTGCACACTCCCCACTGGGGATGTGCCCACAACCAAGGCACATGCCCTTGACCGGAATCAAACCTGGGACCCCTGAGTCCATAGGCCAATGCTCTATCCACTGAGCCAAATCGGCCAGGGCTGTGATTGTTTTTATATTATGCATAAAGAACTGGATGAAACTTCCCCAGAGGGAGGGGCGGTGTTTTGCATGGTACATGGGCCATAGGACACACCCAAATCCACTTCCAGAAACAGGATGGTCCAGGAAGGCTCCAAGGAGGGGGTGAATTCTGAGACAAGCAAAAAAAGGAGAGAAGGGCAGACCCATTTTCCAAAAGCAGGTTTTCCTGAATTAACTTGCTAGTGTATCTATTTACCAAAAAATATATTTAGTAAACAGGAATATATTTTCTCAATGTACATATGAGTACATGTATTCATCAATATAATCTGCCTAATATTCTTAAATATATTCAATAAATGCATTCTCAACATATCCAGTAAGCATATTTAATGAATGCTATCTTTTCATTGAAGAAGATATTACCAAAATATTTTTATTCATGAAGGCAATACTCAGAGACTAAGCCACCTGTGGCCTGTAATATTTCCCCCCCACTTTTATTGTGTTTAAGTAAGTAAGCACTTCTCAAACTGCTACTAAGAAAAAGAATGTTCATTAAATACATCAAAGAAGCATACACTCAGTCATAGAATATATGTATATTTTTAAAAGAGAATGTGTAAGGCAAAGATTTGACAAGTTAGCAAATTATATGGCATTGGCAACTGGGTCCTTTAGCTAATCTGTCTCTTGGCAAATGGCTTTTGGTGATCGATTGGCGCCTTAGTTTGTGTCCCCTTGGGGGTGAGACCTGATATGGTTGGACACCCCTTTTTTCTGCTCCCAGGCCCATGAAATTACCTAAGAGGTGTCAGGGGGTCCAAGCCCAAGCCCAAGGGGTCTGCTTCCCAGCTCCCCGATTCCAGGCTGGGGTGGGGGTTCAGAATGTCCCCATCCTGCAGAGGGAACGCTGTGGACATTGCTAGGTCCCAGCTGGAGGGCCTGAATTGGCCACACTGGGCTGGAGATTTGAGTGCCAGGTCCTTGCAGCCTGAGCATCCAGCTCACGAGACACCTCCCTCTCAGCCACGGCTGCCCACCCGTCTCCGGCCACCAGCCGGTACCCACGCACCTGCCTGTTTTCTTTGTCTTGACACAGGAAGACCGAGGCAAATTGCGGGACCTTTTCACGCCCCATTTTAGATGGACAACCTTGTTGCTGTGGTTCATATGGTAAGAGCCATGTGTTGACGCATGGATCCCCTTCGTCTGTGCCCTGTTGGGGGGGAGGGGGTTTGTTTGAACACAAAGCACAGGGAGCGTTTTGATCTCGGGCAGCGTCTGCAAAATCCAGGGGTGAGAGCATCGCTTTCCCGACCGCTGTCGCACCCAGATAGCGCCCGGACGATTATTTTCCCAGTTGTTTTCTTTCACGGGACTCACTTTTTACCCAGATAAATGCATTTGAAAAGGAAACTTTATATGTCTTCTTTAAAGGAAAAAAACAAAACAAAACAAAAACCACACACACACCCCTTAATTTCAGGCCATAGATAGAAGGCGCTCTTAGAGATAAACGCAGTGAGCAGTTGCCAGGTTGATGGCTTGCCAAGGCGCTGAGTGGCTGTACTGAAGAGATAGAGAGGCAGACAGAGCGGGGAGGTGCTGAGGACTCACTCACACAAGAAACTCATCACTCGAGACAAGAGATACCATCAAAAGAATGAAAGGAAATTGAAAAGGGATTTTTTTTTTTTTTTTCTACAGTGAGACTTCATGCTGATGCTGTAATCAGTTCCCCGCTCCACTCATATCGCCTTGGGTACCACCAGTGGCCCAGGGCCCCTAGTTTGGGGAGCATGGATTTGATGGCCGTGGGCATTCTTAGAACGTTCCATCCTGATCACATTCTACTTTTCTTTCTTTTTCTTTTTTTTAAATCTTTTTTTAAAAAAAAATACATATTTCTTTGATTTTTCTACAGAGAAGAAGGGAGAGGGATAGAGAGTTAGAAACATCGATGAGAGAGAAACATCGATCAGCTGCCTCCTGCACACCTCCTACTGGGGATGTGCCCGCAACCAAGGTACTTGCCCTTGACCAGAATCGAAACCGGGACCTTTCGGTCCGCAGGCCGATGCTCTCTATCCACTGAGCCAAACCGGCTTCGGCCATTCTACTTTTCCTAATCACAAGGGCGAGGGTGGGGCTTTTAACGCTACAATCAGTCCCATTTCAGCGGTTCTTCCAACTCTCTTTCTACCCAGTCATGCACACAACATCAACAGTGCAGGCCCTGGGCCTGGGTCAGGCTTTGTGTTCTGTTTTAACAACTAGTTCTCACCTTTCCTGTTCACCTTTGAGCAGAGGCGGGGGAGGGGATGGAGAGAAGGGTGTCAGTGAAAGTGGTTAATTGTGGGGAGGAGGAGGGGAAAACTCTGCTAACATACAGAACGGGGCCCCATTTACAGAATTCCACACACAGAACTGTAACCCCAAGCACTCGGGAAACCCCTTCTGAGTGGCCAGGCTGTCCGATTGTTAAGGGCGTTTGGAGGGGTACAGAGTTGAGGGGGTCTGGCTTTGAGAGCACATGATTCTGTTGAGCCGACACTAGACGAACACAAAAGCAATGAGGTAGAGGCAATGTCCAATCCCCTGCGTTTGCCAGCACGTACTGCAGCCTAAGGAAGCGGATCAGTGGCGTCTGGTGGTGACGGGGTTCCCACATACTGCACTGGATGAGAATGCTCGGCCCCACAGACTCGAGAATCCATCCGGGTTCTTGGGACATTCTGCAATGAATGAATCGCCTCGTTCTGACCTGCGAGCCGAGTGAATTCTGTTGAGTCCACCCCTGTACGGGGCACACAGCAGTGGTTTAATACGTGACTGGTGCATCGATTCAGCTCTCGGGAATTTGAGGAGAGGGCGGGAGCCCCGTTCTGTATATTATTAAAGCTTCTGTGTGTCCGTCCCCCGCCCCCCGCCCCGGTCCAACAGACCAACTCAACCCAGAAGCCCAGACAGGTGTCAACGCTGTGCTTTCTTCTAAATGTTGGCCCCCCCAATGGTGCCCCCTGTTGCCGGTTGAGTAAACAGCCTCGGGGGCGGCATGTCTGTGGCAGAATCCAGCTCTGGAGCTTTCAGAGGACACAGGATGAGCCCCGTTATCACCTCACTGTGGTTTGCACCTGCCTTCTTCCTGCTCAGGGGCCCCAGGAAAGCCCCCAGAGGCCCATTTCTTTCCTTCTCTTGCTTCCTTCCCGGCAGGTTTTCCAACGCGTTTTCTTACTACGGATTAGTCCTGCTCACCACCGAGCTCTTCCAGGCAGGGGACGTCTGCAGCAGTGAGTATGGCAGCCGAGGACCAGTTACACACGCACGCATGCCCACACGCCCACACCCACCCCAGGTTCTGCCCTCATCGGGCCTGGCCTTGCACAAATCCCACTGACTTGACCCCACCAACTCCAGGGAGAAAGTTTGTGCCAAATCTGAGCCTAGCCCTGACCAATTTGGCTCAGTGGATAGAGCGTTGGCCTGTGGACTGAAGGGTCCTGGGTTCGATTAGGTTTCTAACTCTCTATCCTTCTCCCTTCCTCTCTGTAAAAAAAAAATAAATAAAATATAAATATATATATTCTTTAAAAAATCTGAGCCTAGACTATCTGGGCTGTGGTTTTCAAGATGCTGAACAGAGATCTTGACAGTCCTGGCGTTATAGAAGTTACGATTTTTTTTTAAGTTAAAAAAATAGTTTTATTGATTTCAGAGAGGAAGGGAGAGGGA